TTATATAAGAACATGAATATACTATGACTTCAATTCCGCTATAGTACCGGTATTAAGATTACGAAATTCAGCAATTATAACCCATATTAACTGCGGATTGTGTATGTTAATATCAAGTACTAGTAGCAAATTTTGAAGTTACAGAAATTTATATATTATTTTTAAACTTCAATATACATATATTTAACTCATACATATTATACAAATTCGTATGTATTACAAAAAAAAAACAATTAAAATAATATATTAGAAGTTAATAAATTAATTGAGAGAAAAATAAAAATAAACTGAATTCTATCAAATAACAAGAAAAAAGTATGTGCTTTAGCGGCGGTTTATATATGCCGCTACATTTAATAGAATATAAAAATAGTGCAACTCTGAACGCCTTATTGTACACTTAAGTACTTGTACGAGTATTGTGTTCATGAATAGTACGAAGCAATAATACATTCATATTGTAATTTAGCTACTGTACATTTCATGTACAAATTGTATAGGTGAGTTTCTATTAATAGACCTACATAATGATACACAAAGGTTTGGATTGGAGAAGGCTTTGTGCTGGTATTTTTGCGAATGTCACGAAGATGTTTGATATGGTAAACCACAAAGTTCTCCTTGACAAAATGTATGCGATGGGTTTATGTGGTATCAAATTTGAGTAGTTTAAATCGTATCTGGGGAACAGATCACAATGTGTAAATTCTCGCAGCAGCCCTAAACTCATTAATTTAGGTATACCACAGCGATCAGTTTTGGCACCGATCCATTTCCTATTTTATGTTAATTCTTTTTTTAAACAAAATTTTGGGAGTAGTTTAACGACTTTTCCACGACGAAGTCGCCGTTTCTTACTCTTGCGACAACCCATTGGAACTAATCTGTGATATAATTAATAGCGATAAGACCAAGTTGACGTTTTTTAATTTGAACCTGCATGATCCTCCCGATTTTAACTCCATTTTTCATTTCTTTGAATGTAAAAGACTCGTTTTAGATAACCACAAAATATTCAGTTATGGCTCCCGTTGTTTCTTTATTGGCATAATGGAAAATTTCAAATACCTTGATGTAGTTATAGACAGCAATATGAGTTGAATAAAACATGCTAATGTGCTTAAGTCCTATTTTTGCTCTTCGCTAAGAAGACTTCGGTCGTAGGTTGTTTTGAAAATCTTTTATCATAGTGGATTTAACTCTAAGCTGCAACACGGAATAGTTTGTTGGGGTGGGCCTTGTCAAAATAGAACTTGGTCTTTACTTGTGTTGTAAAAGTGTGTTGTTAGAGCGATGTGTAACAGGAATAAAGGCTTTCCAAGTATGGAGTTATTTAGGAATTTGGGAATTCTCCCTCTTAGGCATATGTTCTATTACAAAGTATTCAAGGTATTATTTATGATCTTTTGTTAATGTTGCTTTTTTAGTACTACCAGCTATCGCGTTTCGTATAATCTTATTTATTGTCGTCTTTTTAACTGACTTCCGGAATCGAATCAGCCTTTTTTTTGTTTTTATTTCTCGATGCTATTTAAATGTTAATAATCTATTAGCAAACAAATAATGTATAGCATCTGTTACATATAAGATGTATATTTTACATATAAGAGTTCTACATAAGTTTTCGAACTACAGCCGATTGAAAAAAAGGTACCAGATTTTTCCTACACATAAATAAATGGTTATAACTTCGAAACCGTCCGACATACAGTAACTATCGGAAACTTGTTTTACAGTCAATTGATAGTTCTTTATTTCAAATCTTACAATCAATTTGATTTGAGCCATAGCTTTCGAGATAAAAGTCGTCAAAATCAGAATTTTTGATGTTTTTTTTAAATTTTTTTCAAAAAAATTTAAAACTTATGCGAAACATCCTGTATAAGGTTATTATGGTTCGCGTTTTCTCTAAACGAATGTCATTTTTCTCGAATTCTGCTAAATGTTATTAAAGTTCGAAAAAAATTTCAAAACTAGGCAAATGGAAATTATATATGACTAAAGCAATTTTAAAAACTTTGTTGTTGTTTTGAGTTGATAGCTTATATTATTTTAAGACTTTATGAAGGCCATTGTGAAAAAAAGGTAAAAAATTTATATTAAAATAATTTATAATTTTTAAAATTAAGTAGTTAAAAAGACTTTTTTTTGATAAATAATATCTATGTAATCTATATTGCATGTAATTAACCTATTTTCTTTTATGGCAAAACAAAGGTAACGTTTGTATAAATTTTTAGTTTAAAATATAAATCGGGAGCAGTTCACAAAATTAGAAGTACTAATGAAAAGCATCTGAATGTAGCTCGTGGTAGAATTAAATACGGTCTTATTCAAACTATATTGAAGGAATGCGGGTGAACTTTTCTGTGCTGTAGGGTCTTCAATGGACCCATGGATAGATAGTAAGCGCTCATATATTTCTTAAGAAAATAAAAATGGGTCAAACCAGTGGTTTTTTCTTCTACAGAAATAAAGTTTCTAGTAAAAATCTATGTACATATAAAATTTCAGTTTTCTTTCTTCATTGACGGACGGACAGAGTGAAACTAATAAGCACTTTTTTTCAAAAATTTTTCTCTAAAAATTAAACCAACATAAAGTACACTCCTATTTATAACATTGTGTACATTTATGTCAAATTGATAAGGTCAAATTTTATGTTTTACCAAATTTTAATTTAAAAAGTGGTTTTTTAAGGTTGTATTCTTGGTTACCGCTAAGCCGGTAGGCATATTAGTTTTTTTAAACATTGTATTTTAATTTTTTTTTTATTATATTTCAAAACAGCTTTCTATCAGTCAAACATAGTGGTACTTTACATACGTGTTCTGTTTTGTTAGGCCTTCGAACTGCAGAGCGCACGTGTCCTTAATGCCCCATAAATGGTAATACTGGCTATGATTGGATCAAACCTTTTTTAGATAAAACATTTAATTTATTCGAAACATTCGAACTTTGGAATAAATCTAACTTTTTCTTTTCTTTTTTTTCAACCCTTCAGATCAGCCAACTCAGATCTTCGATTTTTTTTACAGAATTTTAGTTTAAGTTACTAAATATTAAAAATCTTTTGTGGTACAGAAAATATAGCAATAAAACTCATTTCTATCTCAAAATTTTAACGACCCTAATAATAGTAAAAAGAAAAAAAATTTCCACTATTTTTAATTTTTATTGTTTCTAAGTGCTATAATTATCAACTATGATTATTTTTTGATTAAAATTTTTATTAATAATAATAATATAATAATAATAATCAACCTACTAACACAAAACATTATTATACTAAAACAACGCCATGCTAAGGTAAAGATGGCGTTGCTTCTGTACAGTTATTGGAAAATAAAACGAATTTCATTTGCAAAAATTTATCAAACATTAAATTATTCAATTAAGTATTTTTACCGCCATCTGTTGAAGTAGAGTAAAAACAATAAACATAACCAAGAAGTGGGGAACATTTTTGTATGCAGAAATTCAAATTGCGGTGCACCATTTGTCATTGAGGGAAATGGATACTTCATTTTGGTTTTACAGCTCCGATTTTCCAGAAATAGCACATCAAGTGAGAATAGTTAGTTAACATTTAAGACAAAAAATTAAAATTTGCTGTCAAAAAATTTGTTTAATAATGCGATACTATTTTTACAGTTAGTTTTATAGCTACAACTGCATGCTAAGATTTTTAAGATATACGCAGAACACGACTTCGTTTTGAATATAGTACCCTAATTTAAGTTGTAAGTTAAAAATGCGAAAGCATACTGTATTTTCAAAAACACCTTTCCACATACATTTTTTTCCGTTTTTGAAATTTAAAAAAAAAACATGTAAGTTTAGTATGTTAAAATGTTTAAATATGTACCTATATTACTTAAAAGTAGACAAGAAATTTTCCAACACCGACCGGAAAATTTCCCTTTCAAAATTAAATATTTTTTTCCCTTTGAAAAAAATATCAAAGATAAGTAACTATAGCAAGTTTCTACATTAATTTAAATTATAATATTTGAACAAGTACTGAATGGCAGTCCTTCTAGTAGTAATAATTGACACTATCCTGAACAGGGTTTGAAATCTAAATGTGCATTCCGTCAATACGCCGCATTGTACATGGATACGGATGCGAGCGACTAAATTCAAAGTTTTCAAATGTTTTTCGTTTATCTTCTGCGCTAGACGAAAAATAAATAACTCTGCTTTTTAATTTATTGACGATTTTGATTGTTTTAATGAAAAGACTACATATTGAACACAGCCTATATTAAAGCGGTCGCTTATTTCACGGAAACTGTTTTTATAACTTAGTTTCCAAATTGTCAAATATAAACAACATTTTAATCAATATGCATACTTTTTCTTAATTTAAAGCGAATTTAACATTTCTTTGAGTTTCTAAAATATAACAAGCATTTTGTTTAAAAACAAAACGTTTCAAAAAACATTTCTAGAATTACTTTTTTTATTCAAAAACATACATACCTTGAAAGTTGTCCTGGACATAAGGTAATGACTAAAACAGATTTCATCATTATATTTGTTGTTTTTCAAAATCTAACCCTTTTTGATATTTGGCGCATATTTTTAGTTTTATATTGCGCTGCTATATCTAACCCTTTCATATACATTAATAATTCGCGTTGAGCTTTCTTTTATCAATAATTTTTATTATTTTTTTTAAATTACCATTACTTTCACTTCCAAAATTAGAATTAATCACTTCGTTCATTAAATATTGGCATACAAAATTTTGATTCATTTTTTATGGTCTAAAATGTCTTTAAATTACAATGTATAAGAAAGCTCTTGTTTGACATTGACTTCAACATACAATATCAAAAAAAAACTTAGTACATAGTATCCAATCGCAGTATTTTTTTTTGAGGGATTAATGAGTACCAAATCAACGGTACTACCTTAATTTTTAGCAACTGCAAATATAGATCAGTGAGAATAGTCATTATTAATTTTGTTGTTATAATAATAAAAAGCGGAAATAATTTTTTCTGTTTTTTTTTATAATTATTTGGTAAATGACATTTTCTTTATTTATTTTTCTTTTTTTTTTCTAATTTAATCGCATAATTTAATTATAATTAATAATTATAAATAATGTGTTGCTATTACAGTTACCCAAAAGGTATAACAAAAAAAAAAGAAAAAACAAAACACAAGCGGCATGTATCATTGCTACAATTATGATACACAATACAATTATTGTGCACAATTTCTGTGATCTCTTTGTTGTTTTATTTATATCACGTTCTAATAAAAGTATTTTTTTTTTCAACTTTCATCGCATAGACTTTCTGCAAGTTTTATATTATAACATGATTGAAAGGAAAAGAATAAATCCCATAAAATTTAAGCAGATAAACCAGTATTTTACTGCTGTAATAGTTAATTTTTATTGGAAAATTTACTTAGAAATAAAACGACCAAATATTGTTGACAATATGTACAAATACGTAAATTAAAAATTAAACTATTACATGACCCAAACATTCAATATACCGTTTAACAAAAAGTATACTCGGTTTCTAGAAATTTATATTTTATTCGTTTAATAAATACGAAAGAAAGAGGAATGTTGCTGTCACTTGTGTTTTCTTTTTTTTTTCTTGGTAATTTTTTTTCTTTTAACTAACGCCAATTGAAAATTTTTTTGAGTTTTTAATTAGTTTATTTTTGTTTATTTAATTCTCTCTTTTTCCTTTTATATCTATTTTATATTACTTGTTGAAATGGAAGAACCTAATCTCGAAATAGAAGGTTCCCTTTTAGGTGGAACAATTGGTTTATTCGGTGGTATTGGAGGTGGCACACCCCTAGCTACATTTCCAATTGTAGATCCCATTGCACCTGCACCAACATTACTGCTATTACTTCCTCCTACAGATATACCTAATGCTACTCCTCCGCCGCCGCCGCCGCCGCCGCCACCTCCTCCTCCTCCTCCTCCTCCTCCTCCTCCGCCACCACCACCTCCTCCTATAGACCCTGATATTGTTGTACTATTACTGATATTTAAACCTGTAACAATTGGTGTTGATGTAATAGCAGCTGTTGGAATATTATTTTGTAATAATTGTGATTGTTGCTGTTGCAGCTGTTGTTGTTGTGGCTGCTGATTTATCAATGTTCCTGCATTATTAATACTCGTATTATTGATATTTGTAGTAGTTGCAGATACTTGATTTTTACTATTTATTGCATTATTTGTTGTTAAGGGCTTAATATTTCCTACAAATGAATTTCCTATAAATGAATTTGATGTTGCGATTATTGTTGTTGAATTTATCGTTTCAACTTTTCCAGCAATTCCAATTCCACCCGTAACTCCACCCCCACTATTCGGTATTCCAACACCGGCTACTATATTACCTCCTCCTCCAATTCCCATTCCACTTATCACTCCACCTCCTGCTCCTCCTCCACCTCCGCCACCACCACCTCCTCCTCCTTCTCCTCCCCCTGTTCCTCCTCCTCTTCCTTCTCCTCCAACCCCTCCTGTTCCACAACCTCCTGTGCCAATACATCCTGTTCCACCGCCTCCTGTTCCAACTGCTGTTCCACCGATTGCAAATATTTTATTTTGAATAATCGGTTCAACTGTTGATGATGTAACCGTAGCAGCTAAGACACATGATGATGATGTATTTGTCAACATATTGCTTGCTTGATTATGGCTTAAATTTTGAATTTGTTGTTGTTGAGGCTGCTGTTGAACCTGCAGTTGTTGCTGTTGTAGTTGCTGTTGCTGCTGCTGTTGTTGCTGTTGTGGTTGCGATATAGGTGTGGGAACCTGTTTTCGAGGTGTTATCTACCAATTTTTTTTTTATTATAAGTTAGAAAATAGAATAACAATAAGGATATCGTATATTTCAATTCACAAACAATTAAAAATAAAATAAAAAATGAAACAAAAAAAATTTTGTTTTTTTTAGGGGAGATAAGGGGTTTAAAAAAAAAAGTGAAAATGTAATTTTGAAAAAAGTTTGAATTTTTTCTTATTTATAAGTATATATAAAAATAATTTAATCGTAATCATTAAGAAATTTCATTTATAATAATTGAAACAAAATAAAAAAATAAATAAATGTAAGAACAACAAAAAAAAATCCAATCACTAATAAAACAATAGAAAAATCAATTTAACTCAAAAATGAATGACTTGATTAAAAAAAGTTTTTAATTTTATGTACTTAAAAAAAAATATTTTTGAAACTTTGACTGTGTCAATGAAATTTACACAAGAGAAAGAGAGAGAGAGAGAGAGAGAAAGAGAGAATAGTGAACTTAATAAAGCTAATATAATTTAAAATCCTTTTTTACAAATAAGACCTAAAAATTAAAAAGGGTCCTCAGTTTTCTATATACATATATACATATGTATATTTCATATTAAACGATATCGGTGTTGGATAACGGTGAACAGACACGTAGACCTGCACACCAAAATGAAGAACATTCTCTTTTATTCTCTACTCCGTGCTTGCTCATTTAGACTTTCTTAAATAATAGCTCTAAATAAAATAGATATTGCCTAGTCGTGAGATGTGAAAAAGTAAGCTACAATATGTTTATATAATATGAAAGAAAAATATCATTAATAAATTTCAACAAGATAAAGATAAAGTACACATTTATATTTTTTTGTAATTGCATAATTAATTAATTACAAAAAATAAATTTAAAATTCTTTTAAATTAAATTATTGGGAAATATTTTTTTAATATTCCAAAAATGCACTTCATCTATACTTAGATGAGCAGTCCAGTTTGAAACGCAAAAAAACATTAGTTAGAAATAAATAAGATCGCCTTCAATGAAAAAAAGTGTTAAAAAATGTAAATGTATTTAAATGTATGGTGCGCTACTTAACTAAGTCTTAATCTACATAACATCTCTCTATTTTAACAAAAAAAAAGATATTTAATTTAAAAAAGCATTTTTTTATGCCATTTCCGACAGTATCATTTTTTGCCTGTATTTGCCACTCCGTGGGAACTTCGAATTTCTTGAGATATTATACAAATTTTCTATTCTCAATTGCAAATGTGATTTTTTTTTTTGAGAAAATAACAAAAGTTTTTTTGATTTTCTAATTTTTTTGAAAAGTTTTTGAGTGAAAAATGATTATTTTTTGATAAACAAAGAATAAAAATATTCAGTAACAAAAAAAAACTAAGTAAACGAATGAAAAACAAAACACAAAAAATGAAAAAAAAACAAAAGAAAATAAATAAAAATCCATGTTTGAGACAATGAGCTTTTTACCTTCGTAGCTGGTGAGTTAAAGCCACCAATTACAGTTGAATTTACAGATCTAGCAATACCAGTGGCTATAAATAAAAAACAATGAATGAAACAATAATATTTATGTAGAAAAAAAATTACACTAAACTAAAAAAAAAACAAAAAAAAAAAGAAAACACCAGAAACCAAAAGCAATATATTAAAAAAACAGAACAGAACTAAAAACCAAATAAAATAGAGGAAATAAGATAAAATTTATAATAAACAAGAAAACAGAAAAAATGAAGTAAAAAAATCAAAAGTTTTTAAATATATAAAAATATAAATTAAAGGAAAATAAACAACAAGAATTAACGAAGAGAAACAAAGTATTTTTTCTATTTTATACACTAAAATGAAAAAATTTTTGAGGCAAACATCCAAAAAATTGCAGATTTAACATCAGAATGTTTAATTTATTCAGTACAAATTTGAAATTTTATTTTGCTAAAAATAATTCAAGTTAACATTAGATCTACATTTCAGGGGGTAGATGCCTTAGTGTACGCTTTTTAATAGGTACATATTTGTAATATACAAGCAAAATTTTAACATTCATAATGCTCTATCAACAAGACACATAGTACAGCTCAGACCTATTATCTAAATAAATAAAAAAAACAAGAAAAAAAAATACCCTTCACATATTTACAATAAAATTTTAACTAATCTGTTAAAAAATTTCTTAAATAGGCCTCCTAAATATTTTTTGTCTATATTTGATGAAATGTATATGATATAATAATGTAGAAGATTATGTCACAAAAACTTATTTGTATACTTATACTATATTTTAAAAATTACATTTATACACTGTGCTATTAATACACAATTCAGTAATAAAAATTTATGAGGTGAATTATATATTAATGTAAAATTCTATTTCGTTCCAAAATTTTATGGTTTTGTATTGAATTTTTGTGCACCTTCTTTCCAAATTGCAGTAATCTCATATCAATAACACAATTTTGGTTGGCAATTGTTGAATTATGTAATGATGGAATATTATGGTTTTTAAGTTCAAGATTATATTATATAATGTATGAATGAGAACTATTGCTGAAATGTGTACTGCAATTTTATACTGTGAAATATTGTTTTCTCCCTCTCTTTGAAAAAAATTGTATGTATTTTGCATTGAAAATTAATTTGCAAAAAAATAATTACAAAATATCAAATAACGTTTAAAATGACATAAAACCTTCTATTATTTCTTCTATTTTTTTATAATTATTTTTATACAATTAAAAGTAAATTTGATAGATTTGTATTTGATTAGTGCGTATATATAAAGATGATTAAATCGGTCTAAAAGAAAAATTATTTTTTTTTTGTATTTGTTTTTTAATTTTGTACATTATAAACAAAAATAACTACATAAAAATAATTTTATATATATTCTGAAATATACTGTTTTTTACATAAATAAAAATTTATAACATGAGATTAATTTGTACAACATGAAAATCATAACGCAAGTTTATAATATGAGACCTACAGTATCCGAACCAGTTTACACAAATTGTGTAACTTTATTAACGTTCAAAAGAAAATTTTTCTTTTTTCTCATCTTTACAAAATCTGAATATCCGAATATTAAACTGTTTGGATACTAGTGCGTCTGCTCAATATGCATATTGAAAAATTTTTTAAAAGTTATCATCGAAAAAAAAATCAGTTAATTCAATAATAGTTTATAATTTCATATTATGTGTGCATTTTCATTTACATACGTAAATTTAAACAATAATTTGCAAATATAATATTGAAGGCATGAATAATAATTAACAAAAAATAAATAAAATCTACTCAAATCATGCTAAGCATTTAGTTGCAAAAAAAATAATTATATTTGTGGAGGACAGTGGAGGATCGGGAGCTGGAAATGAAAAAAAATGAGGATTAAAGATAAGAACTGTATAAAATTGAAAATCAATTGAATTAGTATCAAAACAACAAAATAAACAATTGAATTTAATCCGGGAAAAACCTTCCGCCCAATATTGTATAAGTTAAGTATTTTAAAATAGCAGATGTAATTTTGTTAAATAACAAAAAATGAAACTTAAATAAACTCCTGGATTAAGTGGATATTATATCACTACGATTTGAATCTGATATTCAAACTAGTAATTGTAGTGACACATTATCAAGAAACATAAATTTTGACACCCATATTCTAATTTTTCTTCTGAGATCAAAGAAAAATGTACAAACATATACAGGTATAGTAAATAACAAACAAGATAAGAACCAAAAATAAATTATTCTTATTGTGTTTGAATTTGCCAATTTCATATTTTTCAAAACAAATAAATAAAAATTTGTAAAAATAGAACAGAATTATTGAATTTCTAAATCATACAATTTTGGATGCAATGACTGTTTTTTATTTTAATGAAAACCCTAATTTTTATTGCTGTATTTTAAGCTGTTTAACATCACTGCCAAAATATAACATTCTGAGAAAGACAGGGGCGGCCTTATTTTAAGTGCGGTATTTTTACCTACTATTTTTTAATATTATATATGGTATTAAAAATATAATGTTTGGTCACAACATTTCATCACGGAAAACTACTCCTGTGTTGCGTTTTCACCTTAAATAAAACGAAAATTTGATGAGAATATTAAAATAAAAGAATATAGCTAAACAAAAACTACTATGAAAAACATTTAATAATAAAAATAAATGCGCCATATAACGATTAAATATGTTAAAATGGTTTTTATTTTTATCACCAATATTACGGAGCAAAAGTTTGAATAATTCATTAAGATTACAAAAGAAAAAAAAATGCAATACAATTGTAACTGAAATTTTTTGCAATATAGTAGGGAACTGCTTATATTATATACAATTCAGCATAAACATGAATCCCTTAAATATTAAAGTAATATTAATTGCTAAATTGACTTTTAAATACCTAAAGCATTACTGCTAGGAACTAAGAAATGCAAAAAAAAAATGCAAAATATTAAAAAAAAAAAATTAATAGAAGAACAGAGAAAAAACAATGTAAGATTTGAAAAGAAATTTAAAAAAAATTGTCTACGTTATTTGGATCAGATCTGCTTTTAATAAAAAATGTGTGCTCCTTCTTCTACATCTTATATATATACACGCATACATAAACACATATACATACACATATACGTGGTGTCCATATACTCAATGGTATTCCCGAAGTAGGGTGATAAAATGACTTCAAATGAACAAAATAAAACCTAGTGACATTTTACTTTTTGGGTCCCCCTTCTCCAACTTTGAGACCCCATACCTCGAGAAGGAGGGTCCAAAAAGTAAAATGTCACTTGTTTTTTTCTATTCGTCTGAAATCATTCTATCATCTTGCTTAGGGAATACCATTCAGTTTCGGGCAGCCTATATATATATATGTATATATATATATATATATATATATATATATATATATATATATATATATATATATACAGGATATCTATATATATTTATATATGTAGAAACTCAATATGATATATGTGATATATGTGATATATGTATATATATATATATATATATATATATATATACATATATACATATATATTTGAGATATATATACATCTATTATATATATACTTAACACTTACTTGGACCAGAAACTGGTACACTTGATACAGTAGCAGTTGGCTGAACAATTTTGGCTACATCAATAACTGAAGATGGATTTCTAATTTCGCCCGCTGAATTATTTTTCATATTTAAATAAAAATCAACCACAACGAAAACTTTTTAATAATAGATTATAGATTATATTACTTTTAAAACTAAAAAAAATGATTTTTTATAATTTTAGAATAATAAATTCTAAATATTTTATAACATGTGTGAATCGTTGTTTTATTAAAGCTAATATTTTCAACTATGAAACTACAATATTGTTTAATTTCAAAACTTCGGTTTTTCAATTAATAATACTGGACTAAATTTGTGATACAATTTTTGTCATGTATAAAAATTTATTAATAGAAGAAATAAATATTCAAAGATTTAATTAAGTACATTAAAATATTAAATATTAATATTATTATGCTATTAATATTAGTTCATACAAATGAACCTATACGTGGCTTTTGTGACCAGAAAATATCAAACTCGTGCATTTAAAATTTTAATCTTTTTAAATTGTTAGTGTTATACTATCGTTTTGGTTGTAGAAAAAAATTTATTTTCAAAAACTTCGGTTTTTTCGAGTAAAATAAAAAGCATAATATATAAACGTATTTAAAATAAGTTAATGTCTTAAGGCAGCCGTAGGCAAAGTGGGCCAATTATTCTGCTTGCAAGAAAAAATTATATTCGATTGCGACAATTAAAATTTTTCAAAAAATTTTAAGAACTCAATCATAGATAATAGCTATAGGTACATAAAATTCCATACAAATTTATTTGTTAAAACAAAGCCATCAATTAAGTCAATTTCTTCTGTCATTTCTTCTTGTAAGTAGGTAATGTACTACTTATATATTTACCCACAGCCCACAAAAGTTTGCCAACGGTTGTCTTATGGGAACCTTTTAATTTCAGCTAGTTTTGATTAGCATAAGATTATATCTTTAATAACTTTAAGTATAATAAATTTTCGCTCCTTCATTGCTTATTATGTCGGCTATTTTCTTAATTCTTAGGCTTTATCCAATAACATATATGTATATATATGTAGGTACGTAATATTCAATAGAAACATTAGTTCCATACAAACTTTAAAATAAAATATATAAAAAAATTACTTACTTGGAATGGGTATTGAACGAATTTTTGTTGAAATAACTTGTCCTACTGCTGGTATATGAACACTTCTCAATTGAGCTAATTCTATTTCAAGTTCTTTTATTCTAAAAATTTAAGAAAAAAAATATGTAGAAAATTCAAAGCAAGAATTTATACTTGTGCTAAAACCTTTTTTCTTCTTTAGCCAAATTAAATGTAAATAATTTTCGCTCTTGTTCAAATTGTGAGGCTTGTCTTTCTAATTCAGCTTCCATTCTTAACGATTTTTTTGTTTCTTCTTCTAAACCATCAGCCATTGAATCCTTTTGTTGTTTTTCTTCACTTAATATTTGCGCTAAATCTTCAGAACGTTTCCTTTCCTCTATATATTTCATTATAATTTTTTTTCTTTCAGCTAATAATAGTAATACGATTTGCTTTTGACGGCCTCTTTCAAAATCAAATTGTTCTTGAACTTTTTTTAAGTCTTTTTCCAATTTTTTACGTTGTGTACGTTCACTTTCTAGTTCCTGCTTTAACTTAGTTCTTTCTATTTCTAAACCATATGTTATATCATCACCTTGTGCTGTATCATGCTCATGTTTCCGTTTTTCATCTTCCAATTCTTGCCTCATTTTTTGATTATTGTCTAATGAATCCTTTAATGTACTAACCATTTTTGCTTGTGTTGAACGTTGCTTTGTTACCATTTTATATAATGATTCCATTTGCTGTTCAATAATAGCCCGTAATTCCATTTCACCTTGTATTGCTGTTACCGAAGACTGTCGACTAACTAAATGACCAGCTGATGCCATTTTATCACGAAATAATGCTGCATGAGGATCATTTAGTAAAATTTTTGGTTGATTTCTTAAATTATGTATTAATTGTTTAACACGTTCGTTGCGTAATGTAGCAATAACAACATCTCTTGCTTGCAATTCACCTTCTAAACGACACAGCATATTTAATAATTCTGTCTTTGTAAATTGTTCGGAACGCAACTGAAATAATTACATAACATAAAAAAGAAAAATGTATAAAAATCTTTAAATACATCATAAATACATTCATAAAAACAATGTTATTTTTTAATTATTTCCATCTTTTTATACTTATAATTTAGGCATTAAATTAAAAGGAATAATAGACTTTCTTTTGTCTATAGAATTATAATATTAAATAAATTTACTTTTGTTTAAATAAATATTACCTTTTGATTAGGATAAGGTACTTTAATCGTCATATAATCTTTTTGATCATTAATTTTGATATTATTGCTGTGATCATTTAATATATCAATACCATGAATACCACCACCTCCAGAACCAATAAACTTAACGGTACCATTATCAATTTCATAAGGATCCGTGTTATTTTCTATAAAAAAACGAACTACATATTAATTTTATTCCTTAAAAAAAAGCTTTAAAAGAAGTATAATTATAAACACAATTTTCCTCTTAACGAAATCTACTTTCCCAGAACATCATGCCTTACTTTCATTTGAAAGTAAGAGGCATAAAATTTTTGTGCTGATGTTTTAAAATTTAAAAAATGCCAATAAAAGATTGTGTGGAAATTGATCAAAGAATTATCCCTGAAATTCTTTGCTACCATAATTGAAATTGTATACTCTTATAAGTAGTAATAGGGTGGTATACCTATACCACCTAACCATTATAATATTAACGCACTTTCTAAATTCATATAATTAAAAATATTCAGAATATCTACATTATTTTTTAAAAAAGAGTTTCTAAAATGTAAAAACAGACAATAAATTATAATATTGTACCCAAATATGTAAACATGTACTAACCAAATATTTTAGAATTTTCATATGAATTTGATATTTCTCCAATACTATCTCCACCAGTAGCAGCTAATCCAAGACCAATTCCACCGCCGCCTCCTCCTCCGAGACTTCCATTTTCATTAATTTCTGCTACTGATGTTGATGATGATGATGATGTTGTTGTTGATGATGTTACTGGTGACGATGATGACTGATGATGAGGTTCCATTTATTACACAAAAAACTTTTTATATACAATTTTAAAATATAAATTTTTTTATTGATTTTTTTTTTTTTTAATTTTAATTATTTCCTCTTTCTCCAAAAAAAAATCCCTCAAATTTTTTTTTAAATTTCAATAGTTGATTTTGACAAAAAAAAATTACAAAAAAAATTCTAACAACAATCTTCTCTTTTGTATCCGTATCTTTTTATTGTGTTGTGTTGTTGTTGTTATTCTGGATATTCTTTTGTAGTATTGTAGTATTGTGCATATGCAGTGCGGGGAGTTCTAAAAAGAAAAAAAAATGTAGAAAAATTTTATAAAATTATGATGAAACAAACAAACACACACACCACCTTGTATAAGTTATTTAAATTCTCTATAAAAAAACAAAAATAAAAACTTAATGTTTATTTCTACATTTTAATCAAAATTTTTTCTAAACATTTTTTTTTCCTATAAAAAATTTTAAGTTTTTTCTCTAAATTGTAAAGTACATACAGGTAAGAGGTAGTTATGTAGGTGTCTCTGTTTTTGTATGGAGAAAAAAAAACATAAAAATTTATTAAATGTGTGTACCTCTTCTTATTTCTGTTTTTTTTCTATTTTTTCTTTGTTTTTGTAATGAGGGAAACTCAGATCAATTTTCCAAAAAAAAAAACACACCCCAAAAATCTTTTTCAACTTATTAACCGCGCGAATTCTTTTTTCTCATCGCATATTAAAAATAGGTAATTAAATAGAGGAAATACACATGTAAATAACAAATTCAAATACACACCGCCGATGACAGGCGTCAATATCTAAAACTGGCAATTCTACTAAAAAAAGTAGAAAACGAATCAAATCTTTTTATTAGTATACAGGGTGATTTACAAAGATTTAAAGCAAATACCATTGGTTAGGATCAAAAATGAATTAACTTTTGTTCCGGACTAGGTGCCAAACCTCAAGGGTTTCCGAGTCACGAATTTTCTGCTTTTCCAATTTTTTTTAATTATAATTTCGATTCCGAATAAGATAGGAGTTTCAAACAACCAGAACCTAGTAAAGGACTTAAACGTTTTTTTTTTTAAAACCTAGTAAAGAACTTTAAATGACCGGTTACCTGATTTTGTATTTTGTGAACTTTCGGAGACCAAGCTTTCGAACTTTAGGAAAAATTAAATTTTTCCCTTTTTTAATTTTTTTAGTTATTTTTTTGGGTAATTTTGTACGAAATTTTTTGAAAATTTTACAGAATTTTGTTCAGCTGCTTGCACTACAAATAAAATTCATGTATATCAAAACTTAAAAAAAAAAATGCAAAAATGGACAAAAAGAAAAGAAAAACTTTGATCAAAATTTTCTTCTGTTTTCTATTCTTTTTTCTTAACACCAAAAAACTCCATAAAAAAAGGAATTTTATCCTTTTGTTTCTTTTGATTTTTTTATTGAATTTTTGCTTATCTTTTTTAATTAATTTTCAAAATACAATTGAAAAATTATAAATTGTCAAAATAAGAATTTTTGATTGAATTTATGTTACTTTGACAACACTTTCCACAAACACACAGTATTATTTTATAAAACTACATGAATTTGACGGATACAAAAAAGAAATGGAACCGCACACACACACAAATTCAAATAAAAAAAAGAGAAAAATTTGCGACACGGAAAATATTTCACACTTTTTTCTGAAACAGAAAAAATTATTTTTTCTGCTTTTTAAAGAAAGAAAAAATTTCAAATTTGCACACTTAATTATTTTTTTCTTTTTTTTATTTTTATTAACAAAATATATGTGATACTACCAAAACGCTCTTATATTGGAATTGGAACGTTAAAAAAAATTTAATTTTCTTTCATATTATGTGTGTGTACATTTTACATTTTAAAAAGAGGAAAACAGAAATTGACTAAAAAAAATACCGCTTTTTTTATATAATTTTTATCTCTATTCTTCTCTTTCTTTTCTAATTCTTTCGTTTTTCGTTCTTTTCTTTTTCACTTGGTCGCCACACGCCTCCGTTTACCGCTGAACACTACAAGCATAAGGTCCTTTTCACTCTTGCAGTTTTGCTCATTGCGTATGCCTGAAACAGTATTGCCGTTTTTAACGGAATTCCAATTAGTGAATCGACAATTTTCAGCGAAATTTCATAACTTTTTTTGGCTTTAGCTTTCTTTATTCAAATTTTTATTTTTTAATCTGCTTTATTTCTACACTGTACATTAAAAAATATATTCTTTCTTCTATGTACACATATTGTGTATTTCAAATAGAATTTGAAATTAAATAAAACCGGATAATCTGTCGGAAAAGTAGGCGATTATTTAAAAATAGAAAAAAGCCATACATATTTCTTACATTATAGTATGCACCATTTTTTTTCTCTTATTTGTATAATTTTGATTCAAAGTATAATACAATATTGAATATTTTTGTAGTCCCCTAATAAGTATTACCGTTTCTTTTTTTGTCTAACTGCCCATTTTCTGAATTTTCTTGTAAATAGCTTCAGTTAGATAAAGAATTTAACTGGCATAATGTGCATGTATTATGAATGGTACATTACTGATTTTAAAATTTTTATCTATTCTTAAAATCAAATATGGTATTCTAAAAACACAATTTCTATTTTATATTATTTATTGTATTGTTATAAAAAAAAAAACAATATTTTTATGTTATATTTCTGCTTAATATTGCACTCTAGTTTAATGTGAATCCTTCAAAATCCAATAGGTATAAAAATGAAAACACAAAAACAGAAAATTTTCTGTCTTCTTTTTGTTTACCTCAAAAAAAGAAGACAGAAAATTCACAACTATGAAAATACAAATTTAGTTTCCAGGAAGAAGGAACAAGACGTAATATGAAAATTTAAGTGATAAAAGAAGACATGACCAGAATGGAAATATGAATTGCAGCTAAAAAAAAATCCTTTTTTGTAGCTATCAGCAGCAGAATATTAAAAAATATTTTGGCAATACTGTTCTGGATTGTTTAAATAATCTGGTGGGCCTTTTTTGCCAAACTTTTTTTGATAAATTATATATTCTTTTCATTTCAATACACTATTAACGAATACGCATAGAAAAATAAAAGAAAGGAAGGAAACACTATATAACATCGAGCATGTTTACACAAATTTTTAAATTACAAAAAAAGAAAGTACTCAACCATTTCTATGTACCAGATAAGGTTGTTTTGTCAATTGTAAAATCGCAAAATTTCTTCACAAATCGAATTTTCCAAAAAAAGAAAACTAAAAAAACAATTGTACTGTAAAGGTTTTAATAAAAAAAATGTAACTGCATTATCATGAATTGTGTCAGCAGTTGTCGTACGTCAACGTGTAAACATACCTTATAAACGTTGCGTTTATAAACTATACTAATTTGTGTAGTCTAAGAAAACCATAAAATGAAAGCTGTCAAAAAAATGAGTATATCAATTCACGCATATAATATATATGTAGGTATCCATCATAATATCGGTTATCGATATGGTTCGCGTTATAAAAATCACATCAGCTCTAATACAAATTTGGCAAAAAAAATTTTTATGTTAAAATATTTTTCAAAATAAAATAATAAATCCAAAAAACACATGTTTAAACTCAAAATCAAGATTTTAAAATTTTGTAAATTAAAAACAAAGAAAGAAATTTGGCCAAAATTTTATTTGCTGTTATTTAAAAATTTAAGATTAAAACTACAATAAACTGTAATTAATATTGCTTGTCAGACTGAAAAATATATGATATTGCTGACCGCTGTTCAAAACTTTCCCAAAAAATTAATGCTCCCTATTTTACTATGAAAAATCTGGCATTAAATCTGATAAGAGTAGAGTTTACATATAGATTTTTCAACAGACTCAAATTAAATACCATGATTTTATCGTATATGCAAACAATAATTGGGTAAAAAGAAAAAATTTTCATTTCAACATAAATAACTATCAATTCTGGATTATGTAAATCAAAAATTTCGACGTTCTATTAGGAAACTAAATATTTTTAAATCGCGTTAGGAACAGACAGACATGTAATTTTTAGTTTTGCAAGAATAAATTATAGCAGAAAATATCAAAAATTTTTTGTCATGAAGTAGCGTTAGCATGCGTTTCCTAGTAAATTGGTCAAAATATTTTCTTGTAAACTTTGGAAAAAAGGTAAAAAGGTGCAAAAAATTCCAATTTTAAAAAACGTCAGTAGTTACCTTAAAACTTTTAAACTTTAATTTTAAAGATATTTTTGTACGTAAAATTTAAAAATTTTATTTTGAAATTTTCTACAAAAATATAACCAAAAAATCATCATTTTGAAGATAAATCTTCACTTTTGGTAACACTGATTATGGTGCTCATATTATTTTCTGTCATATGCAAAAGGAATAAAATGTCAATGTGTTTTTCATATTATATTGGTGGTTTGAAAAAAAAATAATAATACACAAAAAAAGAAAAAAAAGAAGAAATATACTTTTTTAATTTTTAATTAAAATTTTAATAAAATAATAAATAAGGTAAATAAATAAAAAAAAACCAAAAATTTAATATTTTTACTTAAAAAATAATAAAAAAAAATATTATATATATATATATATATTAATATAACTATAGTATGTGTATGTATATATTATGTGTGTATATACCTAGTCGGTGCCTATTTAAAAAATATTATAGGTAGGTACATTTTGTGTATTTTGGGTACACAAAACAAAAAATATTTTTTAAAACAAAAATTTTCAACTCGAAAACCTTTTCAATTCGTGTAAATTTTCAAAAGAGGTTCCCATTTTAATTAAAATTTATAAAAATTAGATAAGATTAAAATTGAGTTTCTAATGTTAAAATGTTTTTGCAAAAAATAATAAAAACAATTTCATAAGAATAATAAAAAGTTATTGGTGGTGTTATAAAAGAGGAAGAAGAAAAGAATTGCAATCCTGGAGAAAAGTGCTTTTTCATTTTTCGAATAACGCAGACTTTTTTTTTACGTTTTAAAATCATACACCTTACAATAAATATAATTGCAATAGTCCCCAGAACCCGCTAAATAAAAAAAAATTACTTTGGAGTAAAAATGCGTTTGAATTTTAGGTTGGTAGGTAAAACGTATTAAATTTAAAGTAAGAATTTAAACTTTTAAGTGCTTATGAAAATAATGAAACATCCGACACTGCAGTACTTTAGCTTAAAGTCTTGAAAAAATTTAACGCACATATATTTAATTTATTTCCAATAATAAACAAAAAATAGTGACTTAGCGTGTTGTGTTGAAAATAAACCGAGTATATAACAAAATAATATACTTGTATGTTATGCTATATATATATATGTTATGCAAATAAAAATATAAAAAATTGAAAAAACATTAGACTCATAGTTCCTACCTACTTACAAAAAAAAAAAACAAAAAAAATATGCGCTAATTTATTTCTGATGACACTCTTCATTTTGATGTTTAATCAATAAAAAAGAAAAAAAGTGTGCAGTAAAAATTTACTCCCTTTAAATAAAAAAAAGAGTTGAGAATAAATTTTGCAATTGCCCCAAAATCAAATTGACAAAAATAAATTATTAACTACAGTAACTCCAACATATATACATATCATCTCTACACTGGGAGCCTTAAAACGCAAATAAAGTTACATTGGTCAAACAATATTATAGAAATTACTTGTTTAAAATTAGCATTTATACAGTCAATTATTCTGCAGTTTCGTATATATATGTATATAATATATATATTCATATTCAACCCATACTTATTGCCTTTTGAAATTTCGCAAATTAATAGCAAATTATTAATTTACCTAAGCCAACGTAAAAATTAATTTAGAATTATTAGCTTGGCTGAGGTAAATGATAGGTGGTCGAAATTCGTTTTTTTTTTTACCATATCTCAAAGTTATAAATTACATGTACATTGACTCACGAATTTGTTAGTCTATGTACATGATAATGAGAGATAAAAATTATGGAGATGATAAAATAGGTACGTGCGTACCTGCCCTATATTTACTATTTTTCTTGCTGTAAAACACCCATCTAGATAGAAATTTAAAAACACAAAACAGAAAATTCGGGTTTTTTAATGTTTTTTGTTTGATTAAGAATAATTCAACTATCAAAGTAAACATTTACATATATTCTGAATCAAAGTTATAACTTTGATTAAGTTTATAAATAAAAATGATTGAACACTCAGTTTAGCAACATATTGCTTTACGGTATTATTGGAATTCAAGGATTTCTAAATTAAAAATTTGTATTAATTGACAATTAAAACTTAAATTTAGGGATTAACTTTAAAAAAAATTAGGATAAATGAGGAAAATTTAAATGTACATAGTATTCAGCTCATATTATATACTTTTCAGATCAATTAAGTTCAGTAATAATTTTGAAATATGTATGAAGGTATTACATTTAAGAAATTAACAATACATATTTAGTTTTAATTTGAATAAAAATTTGTATTTATTACTACATATATCGATTTTAGAACACAAGGATTTATTTTTCTCATTTATGATATTTTCTTTCTACATCTCTTCCCTACAAACTATAAATTCACTTTATAAATTGACCATATTATATAGATAGGTAGATATTATATATCTAACTACTATTCCTAGATGTTCTATCTATTAACTTTCATCTATATTATTTCACAATATTAAAAAGTTTTAACACAATTTAAGTGAAAAAACGGAGGAGCAAAAAAAAAATTTTTGTTTTTTTATAGAACATTGTTGTGGCCTACATAAGTAACCTACATAATTATAGAGAATGAACCGAGATTTAAATTTATCTACATGTATATGCACATACATATATGCTGCCTGTTCACCTTCTTAAACTTTCTATGAAAAAAACATTTTTTTTTTTTTGATGATTGATGCTGTAGTTAATAACCCCCTTTCCCTTTAACCACAATTTATTGCAGATTATTCGTAATTAATTTTGTTTTTTAATGTGATTTTTTTTATTTAATTTACATATAGAAGTTATATTATTTATATTGGCAGGTGATATATGATTGATATTTAGGTACCTTAACCTAAATATTCTACATACATATATGTACATATTATGTACTTATCTTGTACAAGATGCCTTCTAAAAATTAATAAAAAAAAACAGAATAGCTTTAACATCATTTTATAAATCCTTGCTTGCTTCATTCAAAAATATTTTATAATGACTTTCAATGTTAGGGAAACCATATCCGAAAAATATTCCCAATATTTAAGAATGTTTTTTATTCCGCAGGCCTTTTTTTAATAAATGCTCTCAATGACAGTTCTTGAAAATTATTTTATTAAATTAAAGATTATTTCAAAGCAAAATATAGGTGCATTCGAATTTTTGAAATTCAAAAAAATTACACAATTCATTCACAAATTTCTATTCTCGTACTAATCAAAATATTTCAATACGTAGATCATAACAAAAAATATCATTCAACAATAATTATTTCACAACAAGAATTAATGTATGTAGGTTCTTGTGTTTGTTCTCATTACGAATTGTTTTTTTTGTTTCTAATTAAAAACTTTGTTCGTAACTTACAACTAAAATATAGACTTCGACAAATTGTAATTCATAACTGGTCTACAAAAAAAAAAGCCAATATTGTAAAAACAAATTTACATTTTTGGCTTACTCGTGTTTTTATAAAGCTGATTAAATCAAAAATTAGCAATGTTATCAACTTAAAAAATACAATTAATGTTATGATTGAATATCTAGGCATGTACGTTATGATTAGATGTGTAAGGATTTTTTTTATTCATCTTCCTTTTGCAGTTTTGCATTTTCAAAAATAACTTTCCGTTTATATGCATATACACCTATTTCTCTTTTTAAAAGGGAATATACAAAAATAATAGATTTGTTCTAGACCTCAAAAAGCAAGTTGAAAATACACTAAATTATATAAAAAATAAATTTTCGTTGTAGTTATTTTAAGAATTTATTTTCGTTTTAATTCATTAAATTAAATAAAATAAAATTTAGATTTTAGAAAAAAATATGTACATATATGAGAAATTCATTGATAAAAAAGAAAAAACTCAACCATAAGAACCATAAGAAATTGAGTAAAACCATAAGAAAAATTTAAACATTAAACAATTTTATTTATTGCCACTGTCTGATAATAAACGCATACATTTGCGAAAGACCACAAATTCACTGCCATCACTGGAAACAGTTCAATTGTATATTATTTTCGTTTAGTAATCATAATAACAGCTGCTGTTACTTCTGGTTCAACCAGAATACCAGGCTTATTTTAAGTAGAAAAAAATTGTTTTTTGTATTCATGTTATTTCAAATTATGTCGTGTAAAAATAAAAATATTTTTTGGTGTTTACTCGTGTTATTTAAAATTCGTGTAAAAACAGAATTGGGTGTATTTTCTTTCAAACGAAATTCACGGACCTATTTAAAATCGAAAAATGATCAAAAAAAATCAAGCGGATACATGACAAATGTGGCGTAGAATGCATTATGGTTTAGGATTAATATGTCCTGAGCTCAAAAAAATATAAAATAATTCACTTTTAATACAAAAAATAGATCAAAACAAGTGATTGGCTTTGAATGTGTTGTTAGTCTAGTTCTAACAGATAAACATGTATTTCAAGAGAATATTTTATGCAAACCAGCAAATTTTGATATTATATGAACTGCTTTTACCTTCCTTTTATCATATAATTTACATATCAATAATACATATACATATATATAAATAAATATAGAAAAATATCTACCCACAAACTTTAATTTATTGGTTATTATAAGATATGCTATATGCATATATATAAATATATATATGTATGTATATATAAGTCAAATTTTATGTTTATTGATAACTTTCATTAATTTCAATTTTTTACTCTAAACTGATAACATAAACTTTTCTGATTTGATATTGTATATTTTTTTTATCTTTTTTTTTATATTAATGAGTTAATACTATTGCCAATATATTGTAATTTGTATTTAGTCTTCAAAAAAAAAAAAAAATAAATTTTTTGATATTTTTTTTCAATTTTTTAGATAGATATGGAATTTTTAAAAATACTTTTGAATTCTGATATTGGTGATGAAATGCATAGTTGTTTTTTTCCAAAAACTTAGTACATTTCCAAAGTTTTTAAAAGACAGTCATAATATTATTAATAAATTTTTGCAATTAAAGTTTTTTTAAGCATCCAAAAGCGTATTTTGATCATAACTTTTGAGATATAATGACTTACAAATGTAAATAAGGTATGTACACTAAGGCCTGTCTGAAATAAAACTTAGAAAAACTCGTAAAAAGGAAAATAATGAGAAATTTTCTCTCAAAAGAAAAAAAATTTTATTTATAAAAAAAAAAAACCAGACGGAAAACTTGAAAAAACTTTTAAAACCTTATTAGAATACGATAACGTCAAATTTCAAAGTATCTATCAAACATAAATAAATATTTTTTTGTTATACGAAAAGCCGAAAATTTTGTTTTTGGATTATAAAATTGTGAAACTTAGAAAAAACCATTTGTAAGCCCCATTTTGGTTATTTTATTTTATTTTTAATTGAAAAGTTTTTATTGTTGATGAAAAATTTTGTTTTCAAAAATAAAATCTTTTACATGCAAAAACCTTCTTATATCAAACAGGCCTAGTATTTCATTTATCTTGTCCTTTTCATTAACTGCAATGTGTAAACTTGGACGTGCGCTTTTCAAAACTATTTCGATTTTGCGTTTTAGATTTTAATTTTATACGTTTTTTTAAGTATGTGTATGTGAAAAATTAACAATATTTTGAAATTTTTTATATTACTATATTACTGTTCGATACTGTTCGAAATTTAATAAAAATCTATTTTACCGTGACATTTACTAACTTTAGAAATCACGCGATTTGTACTTTATGAACATGTTGAGTTTTGACATAAGCAATATGCAGTTAAATCATAATGTTTTTGTTTACATATCTTTATTCACCATGTTTTATATACATATATTTATTCACCCTAGTTTTATATCGTAATTCACCTTTCTTACACATATAAATTTACAAAGAAATTAATGAAATTTAAAAAAAGGTTAAATGGCACCTACCATAATCCATTTGTCAGTTATGTATGTATATGACACATGATCAGTATTGTTTTATGCAAATCATTCTTATTAGTTCTTTTTTACGTCCATAAAATACGTTAACTATTTTAAACTAAATTAAATTAAAAATACAATCAATTAATTGAAAAAACTATTATTGATTTAAATATTTAAAGGAATCAATAAGCAGAGGAAAGTAAAAAATCAAAGTCAAAACGTGACGAAAAAAAATAAGAGCACTTTTATAAAATAAAATGGAGAAGAAATCATCAACTGGATCAGGACCACGAATATTAAAAAAGAAACATTTTCGTGTAAAACATCAAAAAGTTAAACTATTTAGAGCCAATGAACCAATATTAAGCGTATTTATGTGGGGTATAAATCATACGGCAAGTTGCAAAATTAAAAAACAAGAATCCGTCACATTTTTATATATGTATTTAATTTTTAGATAAATGAACTAAGTCATGTTAACATACCAGTTATGTTACTGCCGGATGATTTTCGGGCATATTCAAAAATTAAAGTTGACAATCATTTATTCAATAAGTAAGTAGAGCCCCTAAAATTGTTCAAATCTTTAATTAAATATGAAATTTTTCCGATTATTTCTTTTTAAATACCTACATACTTACATACATATGTCTGCGTAATAAGATCTGGATTATATGGTTATTGCAATAAATTGATTAATTTTTAGCTACATATGTATGTACAATGTAAAGACAATATTTTGACCCAAGGATTAAAACATTGCAAAAACATGAAACCAAAGTGAATTTTTGTTAATATCTTTTTAGGGAAAATATGCCATCACATTTTAAAGTTAAAGAATATTGTCCATTAGTGTTCCGGAATTTACGTGAACGATTCGGAGTTGATGATGTTGATTATAGGGAATCATTAACAAGGTCACAACCAATATTAATTGATTCTTCTGGTAAATCGGGTGCTCAATTTTATGAGAGTTATGATAAATTTTTTATTATAAAAAGTTTAACATCCGAAGAAATTGAAAGAATGCATGCTTTCTTAAAACATTATCATCCAGTAAGTTCTTTTTAATCAATTTTATTTAACCATTTTTTTCTAAAAGCTAATTTTTCGTTTTGCAGTATATTGTAGAACGACATGGGAAAACTTTATTACCACAATATTTAGGAATGTATAGATTAACAGTTGAAAGTGTACAATATTACTTTGTTGTAATGAGAAATGTATTTAGTTCACATCTTAGTGTTCATAGGTAAGAAAACATGAATAATTTACCTACTTAAGAAATTTTTTAATTATTAATTTTTTAAATATTTTTAATATAAAATTCATATTACACATGAAATATTATTCAGAAATTGAATCCCGTGTTATTTTCTCTTTTTATCTTTCAAATATAAAAAAGAAAATTTGATTTAAAAGGAAGCACAGTTGATCGAGAGGCATCTGAAAAAGAATTAGAAAAACCATTGCCAACATACAAAGATAATGATTTTATTAAACAGAAAATTAAAATTGTTATTGGAGAAGAATCAAAACAGAAATTATTTGAAATGCTCAATAATGATGTTAATGTAAGTTTAAAATATAAGAAAAACTTTTGAATAAATTAAAAACATTAGATTTGAATAAATTTCTTATTTTAGTTCTTAACAAAACTTCATATTATGGATTATTCATTACTAGTCGGTATACATGATTGTGTTCGTGCTGAAGAAGAAGCCGCACAAAGTGAAAGTGCGCGAGAAGCAGCTGGTAGAAGTGAAAACAGTGAAAGCGAGGAATGTGATAGTGGCGAACGGTAATTAAATATTATGTTATACATATATGGTTATTTTTGTATTTATTGTATAGTTATTTTTATATTGTTGAATGTTTGTAATATAGGTGGACCTATAATACACCACCTGATTCACCCAGATGTACAGGCCAGTACAATGAAATTATACATGAAATTGATATATATGCTCTTACAAGCGTAGAAGGTATACACAATTTTTTTTCTTGTTAATAATAGTATATATGTAGAGCACTTTTAATTTATTTTATAGGAAACGTTTGTATGACATTTTACTTTAAATTGATTATTTGTTTTTTCTTGTTTTTTTTTCATCTAATTTAAAGATCGAAGAGAAATTTATTTTATGGCTATAATAGATGTTCTCACACAATATGGTGTTAAAAAACAGGTAAATATATACTAATTAAATTTATATTATATAGACATTTTTCAATTTTGCTCCTACCTTGATTGTGAAGGACTTTTTTAATCACCGAATCAAAAGCAAATGATTTTGCATCTTATTTGTAATATGTAATTTTCAAGTGAGAAAAACTTTTTCTAATTATGTAACCCACATTTTCTAAAAATAAGATTTCTGATTTGAAAGTTACTAAAGAAAAAGGTGAAAAAGTGAGAGAATTAAAATAACAAGGCTATTGATCTCAATTATAAATTTTCTAAAACTACACTACTATAACACAAAAAATAACATAAAGAGCCACATAATATTATGTTTATTTTTATTATAATAGTTATATGATATATACATTATGCATTAAGATTTATATTAATTTTAAACTTCAAATTTCATATTAACATACAAATTAGTAGATTAGTATAAATAAAGACCATTGGTGTAATTTTCAACAATTGCATGCAGTTGCAAGATTTGATTTTAGATCTTTATGATCTGTGTATAAATTTTGTCCCAGATTTTAATTTACATGATATTTTTTTTCTAGTTTAACCTTACTTTTAAAATTCATTTTAATTTTATTTGAAATTGATAATTAATTAAAAGCAATTCTGCTTATGAGTTATAATTGGTAAATGATATAGTATTACAATATTATTGCAATTTTGAAGTTGCGGGACATTAATTGCAAATTTGAAGTCACGGTACATATTAGGGGTTTCTTTTCTTTTTTTTTAATTACTTATTTTTTTATTTATTTAATTTTCTTTTATTTAAATAATTCGACGACATTTTATGTTATTTTTTATTATATATATAAAAAATAATGCAAAATTTACAATATGCATATGTGGTGCATATATATTTGCATACGGGGGCAAAAAACACAGTTACAGACATTTTTCCAGTATTATACTCAAAAGAGTTCAAATAGTAATCGTCAAGTTGATGTTACTTCAATTAGTCCTATGAAAAATTCTTTAGAAACAGCGTTAAGATTTCCTCTTGATTTGATGGTAAGAAAAGAGACAGTAAATATTATTTTGACATGTTCCTTGTTGTTTATTGTTTATTTTTTTTGTTTGTTGAAGCTTAATTTTATTTATTTTTGTTTTTCTTTCATTTTTTTCTTTCTGCTGTTTTATTATTAATAAATTTGTCTTTATTTTATATATTTTTTTTATTTCAATTTTTGTTTTATATATGTAATATACAGAGTGTTGTCTGCATTTAACTGGTGTTAAAATCTTGTGGGGCCAAACTCTAAAAGTTTTTTGGGAAAGAAATATTTTTATCCTCTGACACGGGGAAGGGGATTTCGAATGTCTAAGAGTGGTTTTGGAGAATTAAAAAATCAGATTAAGTGTTTACGAGTATTCCTATATTTTTGAAGTCACATCAACTCTGTGCATACATATGTATATGCATATTGTATACCTTTTCCTCTTTTGTTTTTTTTATATTCTAGGGTTTGCGTAATATATTGAAATTTCTCCGCAGACATTTTAAAAACTTAAAAACTTTTAGGAATTTTCGGCATCAAAACAAAAATTTTAAGGTTTGAAATAATTTTATTACAAAATGAAAGATTTGTTTGGAATTCCGTCTCCCCCTACCCGTCACCTTCCACCCTTTTCTTATTTTTTGTTTTGGGTTTACTTCATATCTAGATATATCTCATTTGAACAAATTAAATTTCGATTTCCGAAAATGAATGTTATTTTTGTGATCATAACTCTCAATACTAATGTACTATTATTATAAGGTAAAATCTATAAGTACCAAAAACGAACTTTCAAATTATGGGCATACGGGACTTTCTTTTTTAAATGTATATTAAAGTTTTTGCAATTAATAATATTTGTATATATGTACTGTTATTTCAAAATTGCAATAATTAAATAAACAATTCAGCTTAAAAAGTGTAATTATTGCAGTATAAAAGCAATTTTGAAGTCGGGAGATTTCTTTAACTTTTGTATTTGTTTTATTTTGTTTCTATTAATATAAATTAGCTAAACATCCAGCTCATTTTCATATAATTTTAATAAATTAATCAAAGTTTTAGGATTTTTTTAATATTTATTAAGTACATTTTACTTTATTTTAGATATTTTATGGGTTTTAATACATTCTCTTTGAATTTTTTGTCCTTATATTCACATTCTCTGTTTTGTCTTAAAATCATTTCAAATAAGCGTTTGTATGTATATATGTCGGTACATATTCATTATACAGTATCAACAGGATAAAAAAGAAGGGAAGATTTTCTTTTGCATGCATTTAAATTTGTTTTGTTTACATTCATAGCATAAAGTGTCATTAAATAATAATCACAAAATACAACAGGACTGTAATTATAATGAAAAATAATACAATGTGAATCGTATGTACTTAAAATTAATGCAAAAAAACAATATATAAATACATTTCTTAACCTGATTTTTACCATTTTGTATTATTACATCATTATTACTTATGTACATAGTATATGTATACATACGTTAAAGAAGAGCATAATACAGAGGCACCTTCAAAATCGCAATCATATCGTATTAATACACACACAATTCAGTAATCACAATTAAAACGAGCTGATTTTTTTTTATTAATTGAATTATTGCGATTTAAAGTCTGAAATAATAATATATTGTTTTAAAATTATTAAAAAAATTGCATAATAAATGATAAATTATTTAATTTTTAAATATAATTGTTTTTTCTTTTCTTTTTTCATTTTTTTTTTCTCTTATACAACAAACATTAATAGGCTGCCAAAGCAGCTAAAACCGTTAAATATGGCAGTAATGTAGATGGTATTTCAACATGTGATCCAGAACAATATGCAAAACGTTTTATTGAATTTATGGATAAAGCTATCGAATAATTTTAAATTCTTAATATACTATATATACCATAAATATATAATACCTAAATATATAAATATATTATGTACACATATTCACATATATATATTGAATATTTTATGTACTCTTGTGCGTAATATTCATATATATATATATATATATATTTGAATAAATTCAAAAATTCATTGATTACAAATGGATAACCTTATATAAATACATTTAAATAACGTTTGTGATGCACGCAATTCAACTTTTACTACTTTTTATAAATAAGATGAGCTGAATGAAAGTATCACATAACCTTAAAATTTAATGCATTTTTCAATTTATTCTCCTCTCCCTCCCTCCCCTCTCCTAATAAATATTTATATATTTACTATTAAACAAATTATATAATATGTGTAAAACTGAAAATGAATTATTTAATGTTTCTAATATAATCGTATTTAATCATTCGTATATCATATAAAAACAAAAAAATAAAATGGAGTAAAACAGAAAAAAAAATAAAAGAAGAAAAACTTGCAATAAGTAAAATATTTGTATAATAAATAACAACCAATTAAAAAACCAATTAAAATATAAAACTTTAAAATTAAAAAGATAATATACAAAATAACACCCAAAAATATGCCTAACTTCCAAATTGCAGTAATACACAAATCAGTAATATTTACAACATTAAACTGAATTATATTAATTGGCACCATATTACTGCAATTTTGCAGACAAGTTATATAAACATACCTAGAAATATTGGGCTATAATCGAAAAAATTACCGGTTAATTATGTATTATTATAAAATTCAGAATGTATGTATATATTGATTAAATGTATGTATGTATATATTAATTAAATGTATGTATGTATATATTGATATATTGATTGAACTAATTGCGATGGCACTTAATTTTGCTTTAACATTGAAATAACAGTTTATTACTGTTACAATTTATACAATAGAAATAGGTATACTATTTACACAATTTAACTATAATTATATTTAAAAGCTGATTTGTATATATAGTATAACAGTTTTATTGTAATTTTGATGTCGCAAGCTTTAACTTTTCGATTATATACCTAAACTGCATATAATAACTATGATGAGTGAAATGAAAACTTATATAATATATATATTGTTTACATTGAATTATATATATATATTCTGTTTAATCGAAGTGTTGAATTTTTTAATTTCAAAATTGAAGAACATTATTATTGAATTCGAAATTGCAGTAACGTGATATTAATTATACACAATTCATAACATACGGAGTATGTATTGTTATAATTTTGAAATCACAAAATACCTACATACTTATATACATACATACATATATGACATACAAATATACTCTACTTCTAAAATGCAGTAAGACGGTATTAACATTCAATTCAGCTTATGGGTTACTACCGTTTTACCGCATTTTGGAAATCGAGGAGAATGTGACGACTGAATGCTTTTATCGCAAAACTATATTACATACATATGGTTTTGCAATATGTATACAAAAAACTTTAACTTCTAAAATACAGTAATACAATATTAATACACAATTCAGCTTATAAGTGGTAATTGCTGAATTGCGCATTAATATCGTATTACAGCATTTTGGAAGTCAGGGAGTCAAAAATAAGATAATTAATATATGTATACATAAATTTATTTTCACTCTTATTATTTCTTGAAAGATTTTTTTTGTATATTTAAACTGGAATTATAATGGAACATTTTTATTAAAATTTAAAATTAGTACATAGTATAGGCTTTTTTTTTCTTTTTTTTTTTATTATTTATGCTTGTATCATAACTTATAAACTAATTGAATGTAAAAGTTATATAGAAATTATTTGAGTTTTACTTTTAAGACACATATATATGTATATATATGTAATTACTGATATCAAAATTGCAGTAATACAGTTTTAAATACACAATTTAGCAATTGCAATTCATAAACTGAATTGTGTTTTAACAACCGTATTGCTGCAAATGTTAAATTAGAGAATATTTATTTTCCTTTTTTAAAATTTATTAAATAAAATTTAATTTTTTATAAGATTTTTTCTAATTTTGTATTAATAATAATGCTTTCTTTAATTGCCTTCAAATTCACATCTAAATTACATAACGTCAATTAAATTTATTCAGCGTTAAAATTTCAATTGCTGAATAGTTTGAAGTTAGGTTTTTTGTTTTCTATTTTGTATTTATAGTGTGTAAAAATTGAATTTATAATTTTATATTTATAATCATCCCTTTATAAAATAAAGGGATGATTCTTCGATCAATTTCCGCCAAAAAAATGTATGGGCCCGGATGTACTCATTTTCAATGTATGAAATCTGCATTTTTCGCATGTTTTTAAACATATTTAACACGTTTTACTGACAAAATTATGAGAAATAGAGGAAAATGTTAAATGGGTTGACTTTTCGTTTTTAAAATGTTATATGGTTAGTCTATTTCGAATTGTTCCGAACTTATTAGCATTTATTTATATGCAGGAAAAATCTGATACCTTTCTTTTCAACAGTATATAGAGTGCTTTATATTCAGTAAAGAGTACAAAATTATATACATATCATTGTTTAGTGCATCAAAAATGGGTAAAATTTTTGTTTAAAATTAGTTTTCAAAATCTCAACGATCCCTGAGAAACAAGGGTTTCAACGAATTTTAACGAAATTTCTACTTGCCCAAGGTTTTTTCCCTTCAGAAAAAAATTTAAGGTTCATACAAACAGTTATTGAAATGCTTATAAAGTGCTTGAAAGCAAGTTATTACTTGAATTACCCTGTATACACATATATGTGTACATATATTAGAATATATTTGTATAATTCCCCAGCTGAATTGTTAGTAAATAATTTAGTTATCAATTTTGTCTTATTTACCATTGCTGAATAAATCAAATTAACGTTAGAGCTTGTAAGTTACAATTTCTGAATTGTGAATAAATATGATATTACTGTAATTTTGAAGACGTGGATATTCTTATCTATATAAATGTAGTAATAAAAAAATTATAAAAAAAGGCAAGTAAGTTTCTCATGTATGTATAGCGTTGCTTAATAAAATAATAATAGAAAATTTTGTCCTTAGGGCAACAATTTTATATATGTAGCTCCAGTATTCAAATTTATTATTAAAATTTAAAATTAAATTTGTAAATAAAAAAAATTGTAATCCAAATGTAATTTATTATAAAAAAAAATTTTATAATATTTTGTTTTCCTTCAATGTATTGTTCACAATTTTTTTTTTGTTTTTATTTTAATTTTTGGAATAGCCTACTAATAAAATATCTTTTAATAAATGAATTCAAAATGCATTTTATTAAAACTAGTCGTGTGTGCTTGCATTGCAAGCTTTGCAAGAATTATGTTTGTAGTTTTGAAATTCTGTTCCATTCTGTGTGTGAGATATTTTAAGTTTACTTTTTTTCTTCAAAAACGCACCAGTAACATACATACATATATATATGTCTGTTTTCTAACCAGCATAAAACTTAAAATAAGAAAACAAATAATTAGTTCTTCGTACTAAAATAATGAACATATAAATTTTTTGGAAAGATCAGGGCTCGAAAACTGATCTGCGGGCCGATCTTACATTTTTCACCATATCTACGGAACGAATTGATGGAATTTCTTAATATTTGTTATTTGAGTTCTGGTTGTTACTAAAACTAACTGGCGAGCATTTCAGGGATTTCGGGTAGCATAAAGCGCACAAATTTACATTTTTCTAGGTATGTTAACTATAAGCTTACTAATGTCTTAAAAATTGAAAAGAAGTATTTAACAGACATTCTTATAATATTCTGTAACATTTTCACTTAACTAGACCATACACAATGCGGTCGGTTCTGTGCTGACCACATAAGATTTTTGTTGAATTGTGTTATAATCACGGCTCTCTCAGGCATGCAGTTTTTAGATTTGCAATTACAGTTTAATTGCAAATAATAGCGCGTACACTTAAGCAACTAATCTTTAAATATGAAATTTGTAATCAGTTTGATTGCTTACTGCATGCGATCATACAGTCGCATGTGTGCGCGCTTGAATGTGAACCTAAGGAAAACAAATAAACAATCAAACAGTTGCAGAACTAAAATTTGTATGTTTGTTTGTGCTCTTAAATCTCTGTGTATTACGCACATAGGCCCTTTCCCAGTATGTCAAAGATTTGACGATCATGTCAATCACGTCAATCGCTTGATTTAGCAAATGACAATATAAAAAGATCAACAAATCACTTATGCATTAGCCTTTAAAAACATGCGAAAAAAAAAAACTAAAATGACAATCAATTGCGTTAGCAACATATGTTGGGATTTATGACGCTAGCGTCATGTTGCCTTGGGATTCATGACTAACGTCAGTTGCATGCATTTGACATACTGGGAAAGGCCCATAATATGTGTATTTGATTAGTTTCACTTTTTTACAATAAGTACAGGCAGCACTGTTTTGAAATAAATAATTGATGTAGGCATGCGCACACCTTAATGAATAGTTATTTTAAATGACAGTTGTTTACAATATTTATATGCTGTAGTCAGCGTTGTCGACCAAAGATTGACAATCATGATTAAGATTGATAGGCCATGTAAACAATTTCAATCAATTTGGTTGAGCTCAATCAAACTTTTGGCTGACGAAAAAATAAATATTGGTTCTATTTTCGCCAATCTTTTGACTGGAATAAAATAAAAAATGGTGTAAACAAAAGTTTTTGAATAAAAAGCGCTGTTTAAATGTTTTTTCTTTGTTGTGATTTGTCATTTGGTAGTGAAGTGGCAGTTTTTAAGTTTTTAAATTTAAAGTGCATATAGAAAGACTGACAGTGATTGGTTGCAATGTAAACGTAAATTTCTTCAAATTTCATTAATCTCAATCATGATTGTCAATTTTTAATTGACATTTAAACGCGGCCAAAAATGAATCCATACATATACATACATGTTGATTACGTAAAGTTGTTATTTCCAATCTCTTTTTTAGTAGCGTTTCGTTCCAAATAAAGTAATACCTAGAGCTTTAGCATAGTAATTTGTGGTTATCATTAACACCAAACAAAAAAGTAAGGCATCTGCCTAAATAGATTATTAGTTTTCATTTGATTTCAAATCAAATTTCGTTTATGAAAACAATCATATTTTTTTGCAAATTTTTTAATTTTAAAAACAGCAACTTTTTGACAGAATTTTGTAATGAATTAAGAGAAAAAAAATAGAAAAAATATATGTTATTAATTTATATTTATTTTTATAATTATGAAATAACTAGTGTATATTTTTTTTTTATTTTTTAGCTTTATAAAGACTACAAACAATTATATTCAAAACAACTTTTATATTATATTATAACACATTTTATTTTACAAATTTTAATATTACAAATTTTAAATTCATATCTTTAATGTGATCGGTTTTAAAATTGAATGCTTATATTTCATATTGAAAATGACAACTGGGAGTTTTCAGTGATATGAAATTTCGACGTTAGACGTTTCTTTCGCGGCAATGTTTTTCAAACAAGTTCTAAATTTAATCTTTTCGTCGCATAAGTGGCTTTTGTAGCAACAATACAAATGACATTTCCATAAACGAATGTAAATAATGACATTTTCTAATATAAATTGCAAAAGAAATGAAAAAATGGTTTGAAAGTACTATGGTAGTGTAGCGTCTCAAAATGTAGTAAAATACTACAATTGTAGTAAAAACTAAGCAAAGTTAAATTTGAGTTTGTGATTTATGTGTGTTTATTTTGCACACACAAATATTCAATACCAATTCCTATTTGTCAATTTATGTTTAACACGAACTTCGATGTGTTAGTGAGATGATCTTCATCATCGCATTTAAAATTTGACATTATTAAAAATGTGTGAGTCTGTATATAAAATTATAATGAAGCCATAAAAGATAAAAAATTTTTTAGTTTTAAAGTTTTTTTTTTAATTTTTGTAGTTTTTGTGGAAAATTGTACTTCTTTTTAAATGTTTTTTAATAAAATTTAATTGAAATATGTTTTAAATTGTAATTGTCGAAGTTTTTTTATTTCATAAAATTTAGAAAAATTAATTGTTTGATAAAAAATTGCTAGAATGATTTTTTTGTAACTTAAAAAAAAAATTTGAAACAATCTTGATAAAAATTCAAGTGAAATTTTTTAAAACTAAAGGAAATTTAAGATCAGTGATTACATTTTATTGATAAATTAAAATTTATATATGATGGATAAACCAAGGGACGATATAACAATAATATAAATTTAGTGTATTAAAATTTTTGTATGATAACAGAAAATAAAATTTAATAAGAATATTAAAAACAATTTTAATTAAGATAAATTAATATATTTTTATAATACTTTAATTTGAAACTGAAATATACAAATCAACAATGTAAATAAATATACATACAAATACACTAATAAAAAAATTAAAAGCAAAAATATAAAACAAAATTAAGATGACGACCACAAATCAAAGTTCTGTGAGTAATGAAAACCATCAACAACAAAAACAACAACATATTAATCGTGATAGTAATGTAAATAGTAATAATAATAATCATCATTACAACCATCATCATTTTCATCATCTTCAACATCAGCAGCAGCAACCCAACATAAATATTACAACAATAAATACGTCATCTTCATCAGGAGGGGGAGGAGGTGGAGGAGGTATTCTTCCAATTTCAATAACAACAACAACAACAACGGTATCATCAACAGCTTCAATTCAAGAACCAATAATTACAACAACAACAACATCTACAACAATGATGACACCAGTAACAGCAGCAACAGCAACAACAATTTTAAATAACCAAGATTCTTTATTAATTAATAATAATAATGATAATTGTAATGAAAATACAAATAACACAAATTCATTTAAATTACATACATTAAAATTACGTAAAATAGAATTGGAACAATTATTAAATGAAAAAACAAAATTTTTACAAAAAATTCAAAATCAAGAAGCTGAAATATTATCTGGTGGTAGTGGTGGATGTGGTGGAATTGGAATTGGTAATAATATTGGTTTTACAAATAATGGTTATTATAATGGAAGTGATAATGTAAATACATTACCAAATAGTAATATTTGTATTGATAGCACAAAAATTCGAACTATTAACAATAATAATAAAATTATAAACGATAAATTAAATTTACATAATAATATAATTAATAATAACAATCAAGTAGGACTTAACTCAGCATCATCATCATCATTCAGACGAAATACAGAAAGTAATAGTTTCAAGGATCGTAGCAAATGTTTATTTTCAGCATCAGAGGTAAAAAATATAGATAATTAGGGGGGTATCTAGCCCCTTTAACATTTTATAAATATAAAAATAATTTATAAATATTTTTTAAATACCTATAAATTAAGAAGAGTTTAAGAGTATTTAATATTAATTATAAAAAATTAAAATTTAATTTAATTTTAGCATCCAATAAAATCATCCTCTCTTCATAATTTTGATGTGTTTTCAACAAAAGATGACGCCGATGATATTTTTAATAAAAGTGATTTACTTTCTGTATCATCATTTAATAGCGAAAATAGTAAAACAAAACAAAAAGAAAAGCAATGGTAAATCAAATAAAATATAAAACAAAAAAATTTTCATAATATTATTGTTGCTATGATAAATTTCATCAATTGTTAAAATAAAAAGCAATAATTATTATATTTGTACATAATCATATTATTTTATTTTATATTTTAGGTTTGATTCATCATTGGATGGTCCAATAATACGTGCTGATACCCCCAATCATTCAAATAATAATATTTTACAAACATCAATAGCAGAAACTCATTTAATAGGAAACTATCAGGTGAATTTATCGCCATCATTATCATCATCGCCACAATCATTAAATATAATACAGCAGCAGCAGCAAAATGAATTAATAAATTCAACAGGCAATAATACACTTGTATATCAATCAGGACATAAATTATCAAATAATATTCATTCAACAAATTCCCTTCATGGTCATTATCATTTTAATCAATTTAATAATAGAAAAAATAATCACTTACATTATAGTACCGATATTGATAATAGAAATAGATTAAAATTATCAAATAATAATGATCAGCATTTATCATTTCATGATCAAAATAGAATTCCATTAAATAATAACAATAATAATGAAATTTTAATATCACCATCTAATATTAATGTTAATAATGGCAACAATAATAGCAACATTTATGGCAATAATGATAATAATAATAATGATAATAAAAATTATAATTATTATAATAGACATAAAACTCATCGAGATCGATTAAAATTATCATCGCAGTCTATGTCAAGTGGTTGTAATAATTATTATAAAATGCAAGTAATTAAACTTGAAGATTTATCATATTTAAGTTTATCAACATCGGTTTTAAATGGGAAAGCAATATTGAATGATGAAAATTTTTCTTCACAATCATCATCATCAGCATCATCAAAAATAATTAATAGAAATAAATTGAAAAAAGTACCAGCAACAAAATATTTAGTACCAAATAATATTGAAAGAACAAATAATATACAAACTTTTAATGAACCATCATTATCACCAACTTTGTCAGGAACACCAGCTACAACAACGCTACCACAAAATTTAAATAATAATATTATTAATGAATCATCATCATCCATAAATCAGCAAGGTTGCCTATTGACAAATCGATGGTCAACAAATAAAATCAATGATAATAATTTTTACAATAATGATAATAATTCCATGAAACGTCAAAATATCCCAAATTCTACTCATTTATATGAAAAATTTCTAAATGATAGCAATATAAATAGTAATAAATCTTCAACTTTACCATCATTTTATAATTCTGATATATGTTATTCAAAATCTTTAACACCACCACCACCAAGAAATATGATTGGTATTAATACAAATTATGCAAAAATATTACCATATCAGTATAATAATAGTAATAATAATATCGGTTACAATATTAATTCACAAGATTCATTTAATAATTATCAAACATCAATATGTAATAGTAATATTAAAGGAAATGTAAACTCATATTATGCGAATATTAAAAATAATTCTACAATAATTCCATTTAATACTAATATTTTACTGTCATCAACAACAATATCATCATCTGATGGAATTTCATTATCATCTACATCGTTCCCACCTCCATCATCTTCACCACAACCAGCACAATCCCAACCTACGATAATTCCACAATTATCAACATCTCTAATACCTGGAACATTATCAAATAAAACAATAATGTCTACATCACCTGATCTCAGAATGGAATCACCTAAAAATGTTACAGTAGTTCAAGAAGCCACATTTATGCCCTATAAAGAAGTATCAAAACCATTTGAAATGTCTGATTTTTATAAATATTCAACAAAATTTCGACAAAAAGATTTAGTTAATATTAACTATTCAACACAAAATAGTAATGATAATATATACGGTTACAATAATAATAATTTTAATAAAATTAATAATACTATTAGTAATACAGATATCGATTTTATTGATAATAATGAATTAAATAATGGTGATAATAATAATAATAATAACAATAATCGTAATGATAATTGCAATAATAATATTGATAAAAATGATAATGGTAATAATAATAATATTGATAATATCAGTAGTAATAATGAAGAAAATAATAATAAAAATCATTGTAATCGTATTAATAAAAATGTTGATAAAATTAATGATAATGTTGATTAAAAACAAAATCATAGTTATAAGAATACCAATGTAATTATGAAGCATGTTTAATGTTGTATTTATATTTATTGTATTTAAAAGTAAAATACATATACAATTTTGTAAAAAAAATTAATATAATTTTTTATTTTTAAATTTAGTTTAAATAATTTTAAAAAACTAATGTAAAATGGTATATGAATATATATATAGCTATATATGAATATGCAGATTTAGCAAAATATATAAATGATCTTATATAATTATGTTTTTTTTTATTTTAGAGATATTGCAGAAAAAATAAATTACTTACAAATGTATATTGGAGGATACAATAATTGAAAAAAGAAAAAATTTTATGTATTAATGATTTTAAGATCCAACTTCAAAATTATAAGTAGCATATCCATCCCCGCACCTATTATAATAAGGGTATTATACCCTTATTATAATCGGCGAAGCTAATAGCGAGTCGAATGGACCAGGCGAATCGAATGACATTTTAAATTATGTTCGCGAATGCTTTCATTCGCCAAATCCAAAATGTTACTACCGCAAGACATCAGAAAACCTACTAAAAATAATGAGATTAGCACCACACATATGTATATTGTTTTTGTGTTTTTGCAAAAACAATTTAATTTTTAATGTCGGGGTTGTTATTCATTAATTTATTTAAATGCTAAAATTGTTTTTGGTTCGTTTTTTTTCAAGTTCAAATTAATATTAAAAATAATTATTATTAATAATTAATATTAAAAATAATTTGTAGAATTTTATGAACTTACTTTACAGACTGTTTAGCTTTTTCCATTATATCACTATATGCTATAATTTAAAATAAAAAAAAACATGTATTATTTTTATTTTTGGTTTCATTCGCTTAGCTTGTCACACAGAAATTTCATTCGAGAAATTTGAATGCTCATTCGTCTAAAAGTTTGACGAATACCCTAATCATAACACCAAAAACTTCATTTGCTTCGCCGTCATAATAAGGGCCTAAATCCTATTACTTCGTTTTGAGACATGATTGAGATGTAATCATGATTTCCTTCTAGTACAAATTTTTTAAGACTTTAATTTTAAAGGTAATTTATAGCTAAGACATTTAAATTGTGCATTCATAAATAGAAATATTTTAATGCCTTACCTTATTTTTTTGTTTCCACTTCTCAACTTTTTTAATTGATGTAGGTACATTTTAATAGCTGGAATTTCCGTATTAACGAGGAGTTAATTAATCCTTTGAATTATACAATATCCATACAACAAACGGTAATAAATCAATGCAAATTCATTATATTTTAAAGTATTTAACGCAAAATCGAAATTTATTTTTAGATAAAAACGCAATGAGTGAATGTTAAATATATTCTTTTTAAATTTATTTTAGGTAATGCCGTTAAAATTCATATACATATGTATTTTAGATAGATTTCGATATTTTCTTTTGTCTTATTACCGACGAAGAAAAATGAATTTGAACATAAGTTCTCTGTCTATTGCAATATGATGTTAGTGTAGGCATTTTGTAATGTTAATAATTTTTCTGTTACACTTTTTTAAAACATTTTCTAGCACATTTTTAAAAATCTATTTAATAAAGATTTTAAAAAGTAAAATGGTATATAGGGCGTCAAATTTAAATTTAATTTTCTTAAACATATTTATGTATTCTTTCCCGTTATCTTTGTAGTGACTTTGTGTTTTTTTACCAATGAATTTCTTATTTAGTTTGGTGTTATAACCAGTTACAGTAAATATTTATTTAATACTTTGATTTTAATTTATTTGTTAATTCAAATATTAATCAAACAATAATATCCCAGTTGATATTCTTTAAAGAAACTACAAGATTTGGAACTAGAGATGAGCGATATTTGTATCGATATGAGGAATATCGATTTTTCCTTCAAAAATATCGAAATCGTGTTACGATGATATCGTACCAATAACAACATATTTTGATTATAGATCAAAATATCGAAACAAAAAACTGTAGTAAAATTATAGATTTTAACCTATTTTTAAAACTCATTTGTTGAAATGTATCGATATATCGAATACCGAATACATAATTCTGTCAAACAAAAGTTCAATGAATGTTTACACTTTAAAATTTTATCACATTCTAGCTAAAGCAAACAAAATCTGTAAACAATACTTTAAGTGTAAACACTATTTAAACTAATCCAATTTGAATGTCTACCCAACAAACTTGATAACCTATTATAGGTTTGTCTGAGATAAAATTTTAAAAACCTTTAAAAAGTGAAACAATGATGTAATTTCTCGCAAAAAGAAAGTAAAATTCTCATTAAAAAAAAATAAACCAGATTGAAAACTTGAAAAAACTTTTAAAAACTTTATAAATATGCGATAAACGTTAAATTTCAAAGTAGTTATCAAACATAAACAAATATTTTTGGTTTATACTAGAAACCGAAAATATTGATTTTGGATTATAAAAGTGTGACATATTTTCTATTTCTTCAAGTACTTATAGTTTTAAATTACATAAAATTTATTTAAATATTAAAAGGAATAAAAAAAACAATTGAAAGAAATAAATATATCAAAAATATACTTAAGTTTAAATAATTATTTCATTTTCAAAAATTAACATGTAACGATATTTTTTATGTAACAAAAATCATACCTAATAAAGAGAATATAATAAAAATTTATGACAGCAGCACTGTTTTCCAATATTTCATCTTCGTTGACGTTTGGTCTGTTTGTTAACACTTTGGCCCAAATGAGCCAAATGTGTCTAATTTTTCTCTTTTAAAATTCTTTTGGCCCCATTACCCACTTTTCGCATTTACTCATATTTGTCCCGTTTTTTAAATTATGAAAAAAATTTTATTTCCTCTGTTTTTTTAAAGTTTTTTATATAAAATTTAATTAGAAAAAAGCAACATCTAAAAAGTTAATCATAATGTTGTGTATTATGCACATGAATAATTTTTGAAGCCGATATAAAATATGTTGGTTAAAAGTTTTTATTTTTTGCACCATATTAAGTGTTACCAAAAATGCTTTGAAAACTTGGTTAGGAAATATGAATTTGGTTACAAATTAGTGTGAGCTATTTTTTAAACAATATACGTACATATTTTTTTTTAAGACGTACATAATTATTTTTTCAAAATTAAAAGATATTGTGTTTACTTAATATTTCTGTACATTATTGATTATGTATATAACATTAAATTATTGACCGGAAAACACAATAGTTTTTGTTAGATGTTAACGAATATTCTATTTCTAAAATGTAATGTTAAGCATTTTCCTTGATGATGAAGTCTAATTTTTACATACTCAGATTCTATTATTCTAATTAAACTTAAATATACATATAAATTATCAAAAACGACATTTCTTATATTTTCTAAAATATTTTTCAAAATTTTGAAGTGGAAATTGTTGGAAATTGTTATTGGATAGATGAACTCGCCTGATGATCAACTTGATGATTTCACCACAAAATAAAATAAATTTATTTTTAGATAATTTCTAGATTTTAAATAATAACGCATAAAATCGCCTACATTTTGGTTGCATAGAAAACAAGACACTGTGGTAATGCTAAAATTTGCTAAAATATAAAATTTGACGTAAAGATATACTGCGTTATATTGTTGGCTTCATTTTTTTATTGAGAAATGTATGAACGAATGCTATCCATGGTTTATTAGATCCATGATTAAATACCCTTAATATAGGAGATTAAATATTTACAATGGTCATAAAAGATAGTGAGTGGAGGAAGTGGAAAAGATTAAAAAGATGAGAAAGTAAAACTCTTCAAATCTAAGAAATTTAAGATATAGAAGTTGAAGTTTGAATTAAAATTTAAATAAGAATACAAATACTCGTAAGTGTTTTACTTGCAAAACTTAGCATTTTTATCGAAATTGGCCCACTTTGCTAAAGTTTGACTCTTTTCTTTTTGTATATTTGACCCAATAATTTTTTCATGAGTGGTAACCCTGGTTATCACTTCTTTTTATGTTCTTTCAAAATTCTTGTGTCAGAAGAAGAGTAGAACACTTTTTTCACTTCAGCTCAGTTAAAAAAAAAGTGTGTGTGAAGGAAGAATTGGACATTTTGTTGTAGAAGAGACAAGTATAGTAGAGCAGTGAAAAAAAAAAAGAAGAGAAAAAAATTTTCACATTTTTCTTTTTTTTCTTTTTTTGTTCAATCAAAAGACACACAAAGAAAAAAAAAGAGAAGAATTTATTAAAAATAAAAATTTTTTAAATCTTAAAAATTACCATCCATCGGTAGTGATATTTTATTAATTTTTATTAATTTAAATATGGATGGTTCTGCTAAAAATCGTTTTGAGTTACTTTGTATAGATGATGATGCCACAGATCCTCTAGACACAATTGTTAGGAAAAAGGTAAAGCAAACTTCATCATCATCATCAGGATTAGCGGCGGCATCGGCGAGTTCTAATCTTAATTCACAACCATTAAAAAATCAAAATCATAAAAATGTAAGTGGAGGCGGTGGGGGAGGTGGTGGAGGAGTTGGTGGCGGTGGAGGTTTTAATGATTTAAAATCAAATATAAAGAATGTTAATAAAAAATTGTCTACATCGGTTACAACAAATGCTGAAAAAGAAAATAAATCTGGAACTATGAATAAGAATATTGATAAGAAATCAATGATGACCGGTGGCGGTGGCGGCGGTATTGGACAACAACGTGATGGTCAGCAAAATGTTGGTAGCGGCCAAACCGGTGGTGGTGGTGGTGGTAAACAATCACAGAATAAACAAGGTAAGCTTTGTATACATATATATATATATATATATATATATATATATATATATATATTTGAAATTACAGTAAGATTAAATTACTGCAAAGTAGCACATTTTATTTTTGATGAAAAACGTTCTTTTTATATTTTGCTTTTTTTTTTTTATTGAATTTTTTTTATTTTGTGTTATAATTAGATTTAAAATGCTAAAAAATTCTTGTAGGAATATATTAAATTTTTCTCCCAATACCTATAGAGGGTTAGAGAGATTATTTTATTTAGTCCTATAGGTATATGTATATTACAAATGGGTAGGAAACCAATGCCTTTTTGGTTTGATTAGAGTTTCCGTATAATTGCAATATAATATGATTAGATATGTACATCTGTATATTAAAATATCAAATTTTCATTCCCATAGTGAAAGAATGACAAATATGCGTTGTATGCTAAAATTGTGTTAAAATTTTATATTTTATTCTATTTAGTTTTTGTTTTCCTTACATTTAGTAGGTAATAAATGTACATACATACAATAATGTACTTGGGGTTATGGCATTGAAGATTTTGTATGGTATCTTATATTAAAATTCAATTGTAGAAAAAAATTTTTATTACATATTTAACAAGGATTTGCTAAAGAAATTATTGTTTTAGGTGGAATTTAAGAGTTCCATATAAAAAATTTTAACATTTTATTAAATTTTTTTATTTTATGTAAGATATTTCATAAAAATTAATAAATTGCTTGATATGGAAGTTTTTTTTTCATTTCACACATTCTTCATATAATTTTTTCTCTTATTCTTACACGTTACTTTTCATATAATTTATTTTTTCTTCTTTTCTGTCTCTCCCTCTCTTTCTTTTTTTATAACTTTACACCTATTTATATTTATTACTCTCTATACCTATATAATGTCTCATATGGTAGATATGTGTACAATATTTTAAAAAATGTGAGGTTAAGTTTTTTACTCGTGTGTTTACCATATTCACGTTATTTATGGCATATGTGTATATGTATATATTATATATGTATGAATGGGTATAGGTAATATTCATTATTTTTTTTCTTATTTTATAAGAATAATAATAATTATTATAATTTTTAAAAATTCTATCAAAACAAAAAAGAAAATCGAAAATTCTAAATGGAATTATTGAGAAAACCATTATACACACCCGTAAATGTAAATATGAGGTAAGCAGGCGGAGACTTGAGATATCAAAATATTTTCATGATTGTTATTTGTATGTGAAATGAATGGGGGTTGTACATACAGTCAGTCAAAGTGAAAATGATACACTATTTACAAAATTATTTACCAAAGGTTTTTTCTTAATTTTTAATTGAATTCTGAACTTTTGTTGGCATAAATTTCTTCGTTGGTACGTACGTAAACTAAAAAAATACAAATTTTAAAAAATTTATCATTAACAGTTAGACTATAAACAAAAAAAAACTAGCAAGATTACAAAATATTAGTCAAAGTGAAAATGAAAAACAATTTTTTTTACTAAAAATTTACCATTAGAATATATTTATTTTTTTTGGAATACAATAAACTTGATCTTATTTGTTCTTTTAATGTGTTTAGAGAAGTGTTTGAAAAAATTTCAGGCTTAAAAACTTTAAATTATAAATTTTTTTTAAAAATGGTTAAGCAAACGTCTTATGAGGAAAAAGAACTGGTCATTCATCATCAATTGCTTGGAAAAAGCATCAGGGATATTGCACAAATTATAAATAGAAGCGCATCAGCTGTTTAGCATGTTTTGAAGCGATATAAAAACAGCCAAATTGCAAATAAGACTAAAAAAAGTCCAAAAAAGACTTTTGATGAGCGTTCAGAAAAATGAGTTATTAGAAAAATAAAAAAAACCCAAAGCTAAGTGCACCTAAATTGCGTGTAGAAGCTGCAAAGCATTTAAAAATTGATCTATGTACTGAAACAATTCATAATGTTTTACGAAAATACGAGTATTATGGTAGAATTTCAAGAAAAAAACCGTATATCAGTCAGAAAAACCAAAAACTTAGACTCGAATTCGCTAAACGCTATAATTCTAAAGAAGATTCGTTCTGCGATTCCGTATGGCGACGAACGGAATTGGTAATCTACATTTTCTTGAAGGTAAAATGGACAAGATGATGTATTTAAATATCTTGAAACAAAATCTTCAAGAGAGTGCAAAAAAATTAGGTCTGGAACATACCTTTGCCTTCTACCAAGACAATGTTCCCAAGTATAAATCATTTCTTGTTCGAGAATGGCTGATGTATAATTGTCCCAAGGTAATTGAAACTCCCCCGCAATCGCCAGACTTAAATGTCATCGATCATGTGAGGGATTATTTGGAAGACAAAGTCAGACAACATCACATTACACACGCAAATCACCAAAAACAAGTGCTGAGCGAAGAAGGGTCGAAAATTCCAACTGATTTTATAAAAAAAACTAGTTTCTTCCATGTCAAATAGATTAACTGCTGTTAGATTTGCAAAAGGACTATATACCAAATATTAAAACGTATTTAAGAATATTATTTTACTGTTATTCCTATACTATATCATTTTCACTTTGACTAAAAATTTGAAGTTTTGTTATTGTTTTTTATTTTGTAATCTAACTGTAATTTTGATTTGAAAATAAAAAAAAATTGAATTAAAACTTTTTTTTAAATGTGTATCATTGTGACTTTGACTCACTGTATATTTTCCGTCAAAATTTGTTAATCAGATCAAATGTTAAACCTGACTAGCAGCAACTTATTCTAGCATACTTGCATGTTTTTGATTTTTTAAAAACGTATTTTTAACATATAATTTTTTTTTTAATTTTTAATAAATAGCCACACATTGTCCGAGCCTAAATTAAGTGAATATGGTAGACACTTTTTATGTTAACCAGTTTTTTGTTGAGTTACTCTTGCTCAGAATTCGACTAAAAACATTAGATTTTAAAATTGTTTTTAATTATTATTAGAGTACCTATATATGTATATATTGAAAAATTGATTATATGTACATATACTTAAAAAAATTTTTATGTCTAGTAGGTACCCTTCCCCGATTTTGTTTAGTTCTAATTCTCAAATTAGTTGTAAGATTTTGATTATAAAAAATTGGCAATTTTAAGCTGTTTAAAATTTTATAAAATACATTGTTTTTAGAAAAATATAGGTTTATATAAATGAATAGCATCAGTTTTTGTTTCAAATAATTAACACAAAAAATTTTGTAGGGACACAGCAACGTAACGTTAATTTCAAGCAACAAAATGGCGAAACCCGTGAACAACGTAATAATCGTAGAAATCGTGATGATATGAATAATCAAAAACCATTTGGAAATCGTAACGAACGTAATAATAATAATAATGATTCTGTCGGTAATACTGGTCTAAGTACAACAAATAATAATGATGCTACTGATCAACGTCCACCAAGACGAGATAGACGTGATAATGATAATCGTGGTCCACCTAGAAATCGAAATTTTGATGGTAGAAGTGGTAAACGTGAATTCGATCGTCAATCTGGCTCTGATAAAACCGGTGTTAAAGCAATTGATAAAAAGGATGGCGCTGGTGGTTATAATTGGGGATCACCTAGGCAAGATATAGAGGATTTGAATAAATCGACTACTGATGAAGGTAAATAATAAATTTTATAATTTCAATTTAAAATTTTATCATATAAAAATAAAAAAAAATAAAATTTATTATTATAACTGTTTCTTATAATAGCACTTATGGAGAAAGAAGAACCTGGCACGGAAACACAAAAGGATGAACAAACTGCACCTATTGAAGAAGAAACCAAAGAACTTACCTTGGATGAATGGAAAGCACAGAAACAACAACGAGCGAAGCCCCAGTTTAATATACGTAAAGCTGGAGAAGGTGAAGACTTATCGCAATGGAAGAAAATGATCGCATTGACTAACAAAAATAAGAAAAAAGTAAATAATATTTTGGTTATATGGAAAATGCAGTAAGACGATATTAATATCAAATTTCTACTTAATATTTGAAATTACTGAATTGTGTATTAATATTGTATTGCAGCAGTTTTGATGTAAGGAATACTTGAAAACATTTCAACTTATTTGTTTTTTTATTTTATTTTCTTCAGGGGGAATCAGATGAAGAAGAATTAGAATATGATCCGTCTATGTATCCACAACGTGTAGGCCGTTTACAACGTATTGTAAACATTGAATTTCACTTTAATGATGGAAGACGTGGTGGTGGTATGGGACGAGGTCGTGGCGGTCGAGGTCAACGTAATCCAGGTGGTGGAGCTCCTGGTGGAGGTGGTGGTGGTGGCGGAGGTGGAGGAGGAGGAGGAGGTGGTGGTGGATCTGGTGGTGGAGGTAGCGGAAGAGAGGGCGGAGGTGGTGGTAATATTGCTAGTGGCGGTGGTAATAGTGAAAAAACTGGCGGTAATGGTCAAAGGCAGCGTACCCCACGAGAAAGAAGGGTAAAGAAACGTTTTTTATTATGAAGAGTTTGAAAATATTCCGTTGTTTAATATAAAGATACACTTTAGATTTTTTTTGTTTTGTATGTTAATGTTTTGTATTAATTATTTTTAGGACGGTGATCGGCAAAGAGGTGGTCAACATGCACCGAAAGTAGATGATGAACGACAATTTCCAACTTTAAGTTAAAAAAGTAAAGAATTTTTAATTCAACAACAATAAACAAAAAAAAAGAAAACCAACAGAAAAAAAAACAGAAATTATAACAAAAAATGCTACGTGCTTTTCAAAGCCTTTAAAAAATATTTGATATATACATCTGTGTATATATATATATAAATTAATATATGTATATTTATACATATATAAATAAGTATGTGTATATATATACATATATAAATATTATTGTGTATATAACTAAATATACGTGTATATATATATTATATATATATGTGATATATATATGTGTATATGATATATATATGCATATGTATTTATACATAAATATTTGCGTTTTTAATATATGTGTATATTTTGTTATGCATATATATCATCTATACTATAATATATGTAAATATATATATATATCTATATATATATCTATATATATATAATATATATATATATATATATATATATATATATATATATATATATATATATATACATTATATTTATATTTAAATATATAAATATATATATATATTTCTAGGTATAAATTAAAAATCCAAAAAAAAAGTAAATGAAAAATTAAAAATCATAATGAATTCTTAACACAAACATAAAAAAAAATATTCAGAATTACTCATTATTTTTAATAATTGAAGCCCAAAAACTTAAAAAAAAAATACAAAGTATATGTGTTTTATGTGTATATATAATAATATATATGTATATATATGTTTATATATATATATATATGTATATATATGTTTATATATATATATATATGTATATATATGTTTATATATATATATCTATATATCTATATTTAATTGTATAGATTATTATAAAATAAACAAACAAGATTTTAACTATTTTCTTTCTCTTCATCTCCAAAAATAGAATGTCAGCCAATCCATTCAAAGCCATGACAGCTTGCAATAACACGGTATTAATACATAATTAACTTTGAATTGTAGTTGCTGAATTGTGTGAAAATATAGTATTAATACATTTTTGAAGTCATTGCAAACAAAAAAAGTCGCGTGAAGAATTACATATTTTTTTGTACTTTACTATTTTAAAAAAAGTACTATTTAAATTTTTAAGTTTACCAATGTCAATAATTTTACTTAAAATTTTTTTTGCTTTTTTAACCGCAATTCAAGCGCATAGTTTTATGACGACAAGAAAATAAATCAATGTCGAACATGTAATTTTAAAATTTAAAACATCTCCTTTAATCAAACAATTGATTGCAAATCGTATTATCGAGAAAGAAGAATAACTTTTTCTAATTTTAATTTTAAAATTAAAATATTTTTAATTTTAACTATAAAAGAAAAAAAAACTAAACTGAATAAAATATTTGAAAAAAATAAAATTAATATGGAATTATTATTAAAAATAATGAAAAAAGAACAAAAAAACATTTTTTTTTCTATTCGAAGAAACAAAAAAAAAAGTTAAAAAAAAGTAAAAAAAGAGAAAATAAAAAAAAAACAACGAGAAATTGCAACATTTGCAATATTTTTTTAATTTTTATTTTATTTTTATAAAGAAAAAACAAAAAAAGGAACACATTGTAAAACATATATATAAATTAACATTATATATATATATATATATATATAAATAAAAATTTATATAATTTCAAAAAATAATAAAAACAATAAAAAGTAATATTTAATAAAAATAAAATTTGATAATTTTAAGGAATTATATAATTATATATTACCACACTATTGTATTTAAAATAATTTAAAATTTGAAGTGTTTGTAAAATTTATATATGCGCATATATGTAACTCTATTATTATATCCATACATTTATATAATTTTAATAATTTTAGAAATAAAAACATTAACATTCTGCCTTCAAACTTGCACGTAATATGATATTAATGAATAATTCAGCAATTACTATTCATAAGTTGAATTATTTTATTAATATTACTGCAATTTCGAAGTAGAATAATTCATATATGCATTTGTGTATATATCATATACACAAATATTATGTATATATACAGTAAACGTAGGTATATATATATATATATATATATATATATATGTATATATATATATATACATATATGTGTATATATATATATATGTATATATATATATATATATACATATATATATCTATATATACATATATTGTTGCGTTTTAGATCTTGAGTTTTGATGTCGGGCCTCTCCTATCTTTTCTTCTAATTATACAAATGGTTTCGATGATAAATTAAAGTAAACAAAAACTGTTTCAAATATAGTAAAAAAAACAAACCACCGCAGTATCATTAAAATTATAAAAAATTTAATAAATATATGTAAATACATATGTACATACAATAAATTATGTGAACAATAATTTAAACAAAATATTTGAAAGAATAAAAAATCATTATTTTAACAAATATTTTAACATCATAAAAAATCGCTGTACTACGAGGGTCACTATTTATATTTCGGGTCTAGCAATAAAAAACAAACATTTATCATTGGAAATGGTTTTATTGTTTTTCAAAATATTCCCCATGAAGATCAATACATTTTTGCATGCGCTGAAACCTCTTGGTACCAGCGATTTACAGTGGTTTTTGATGGTGCTTCATCACCAAAAGTCGAAACAAGTTGATCGAGAAACTCTTGTCTCGATAATCCGCGCCGAAAATCGTAAAAAATCATCGCACGAAAATTTTCACGGACAATTCCATTTTTTGACCGAGATGAATTTTTCAAGTCACTGTAAACAAAACAATTCGCGCTCGAATGACAAAACGTTCTGAGTGAAGTTGTCCTAAAAAATGTCAAACTTTCCAATGGAAGTGTCAGATTGCACCTGGCAGCACTAATATTGCCAGGACCCGAAATATAAATAGTGACCCTCGTATTTGAATTTGAAAAAAAAACAAAGTAAATAGTTTGTATTTCCTACTTAGTGAATGTATACAAACAATCAGTTCTTTCAATGCTGTATTTTAGCACATAATTCGGAATGCCAATTGCGGAATTTTGAATCATTAATGTATTTTTAAAATTCGGATATATGAAGGTATCTCATACTTTCATATTTTTTTTATTTCCAAGAATAATTTTTTAAATGCTCTGTTAATAACCCTAAAATTAGATGTAAAGATCATTATGATTTCATATTTGATATAATATTTGAAAATTATACATATACATATATTTATTATTTCGAACCCATTTTAAGAGAAGCAAGAATGCACACAAAACATTCAAGAGCTTAAAACGCTTCACAAAAAAAAGAAAATTATTACTAATCGATACACACACATCCCATATATTAATAATTAAATTTTTATAATATAAATTAAGAAATTTTTTTTAAATAGCATTGACCGACCCGAACGCAAATTAAGTGCACAAAAATTATATTGTAATTAATTGTACAATAATGATAAAAAATTGTAAATAATTCGTATCTAAAAAAATCTGTTCAGAATTTTTTAAAAATAAATTTTTGATCTCAAAATTTCATTAATACGGTGTTAATAAACAATTTAACTTATGGGTCCTAGTGTGTATTAGTACCATATGATTGCAATTTTGAAATTACAGAATCTGTTATTGGTATTCCAGATTCACATTAAGCATTCTGATAAATGAAGAATTAAGAAACAGAAATGTGAAAATTAATTTAAGTGAAAAAAGTTTAATTTTGAGTTTTGAAACTCAATTTTTTTTTTTTTACTTGATTGTACATAAAAAGAGTATTTTCATCCATTTTATTGTTGGAAAATTGTTTAATTAATTATTTATAATTTTTAAATATTTTATAAGCATATGTTTTTTGATTAATTTTTTATATACTTAATTCAGATATATCAGCTTCATGTTTTTAAATTCATTTTAAATAATTTATATCATTTAATTATTTTTTGTGGGTGTGACGATTATAATAACAAAAAAAAAAATAAATAAAAAAAAAATATCAAAAACGACAAAAAAAATTTAATTATGTTGGTTGCCAAATTATTAATTCTTGTTAATCTTATTAATTTGCCTGATGTCTTAAAAGAAAAAATTTCATTTATTTGAATTAAATTTTAGTTTTTTAAAAATGTAACAAATATAATTTTTTTATATACTTGTAGTATTAATTTTTTTTATAATAAATATTAGCTACGAGTTGTCTTTTTTGTAGTTAGTTGGCAACATGTGTGTTATAAATCAAAATAAATTATTTTAAATTTGGTCATTAATAAATTTTCTTTTTTCCTATAAATTTAATTGTAAAAACTTACCGTGTATTTATCAAAATCGCAGTAAATATCCTGTATTGCCAGAAAATTTGGCAATTACAACCCTGAAGGAAGAAAAGTGTGTTGATAACCACATTACTGCAATTATTAAAAATAAAAATACACAAGTATGTAATGCGTTTTTAACTAAAAACCGACTTGCTACTCTCTTAATTCGTGACTTCAAAAAAATGCAGTAATACTACATTACTATACAGAATTTAGCAATTACAATTCATAGATAAATTTTTTATTAATACCGTATTACTGCAATTTCGAAATCAAAGAGTATTATTGTATTATTATAAGGTTTCCCAAAGCCTAATAAAAATTTAAACTGGTCACTAAGTGAATTAATATTAATTGAGTACCTTTTTCACAAGATTTGTGTGAAGTAGCGTGTTTAATTTTGCTATATTAAATGTTGTCTTCAAAAATTGCAGTAGAAGAAGAATATTGTTGCATAATTCGTACCGTATAACTGAAATATAAGAAGACAGAGAAAATTGTTTAAAATTTTTAATTACAAGTATGTAAACGGAATATTAAAATTTTTCAAAAAGAAAACCAATATTGAATTGCTTATTGCTTTATTACGTTTAATATTATACTGCTATTTTGAAGTCAAAGATTCATTAGCACCAAAGACCATATATGGTCAAAACTCACACAGTAGTATCAAGCTAGATTATACTGTGATTTAAAAATTGCAGTAATATTTTATTGTTATACGAGTACAATTCAGAAAAATGTATGTTGAACCATAATAATACCGTTTTATATATTATATTGGAAGTTAATCACCCCATTTAATTACACATGTAATAAATAATAAATTTTTTTTAAGATGTGTTTAAATATATACGCATGCACATATTATATTATGTAAATAATATGCATCTATATATTTAATATATATATATATATATATATATATATATATATATATATATATATATATATATTGTATACAATATATTATATATCATATACAAACCGTGATTTCAAAATTGCAGTATGCTATATATTCAGTAATTGGAACTCTTAAGACTGAATTGTGTATTAATGGGGTATTGCTGCAATTTTGAACCTTGGGAAATAATTCAAAAAATTCAATTATGTATATTAAATTTTCGTTTATTTTTTTTAAATTAAAACACACTAGAATTTATGCTCTAATTTAACAAAAAAAAAATATATATATATATATATATATATATATTAATGTAATAAAAACATAATAATAATTTTGAAAAATAGGCTTTGAAAAAATAGTAACAAAAAAAAAAAATAAAAAAGTTTTTATTAAAAAAAATGAAAAGAAGGAAGTTTAAAAATTGTTTGTTTCATATAAATACAATTATAAAAATAAATAAAAAAAATATTTGAAAAAATTAAATAAAAAACCAAAACTTCAATTATATTTTATTCGTAATACATAATTAATCAAACCATAAGTTGAATTGTAAATCAATAACGTAATACTTTAATTTTGGGTCAGAGATCTCTTGAGTTTGTTTTTACAGTATATACTTATGTAAAATATTACACAAATATTAAAAAAATGCATCAAATTTTCATAAGTTTTGGTAAATTCTTAAACGTCAAATTTTACAAAATCTGAGTTGTCTGAGTTTACGAATACTCTACTGCGTTTTTACTTTCAGTCAAAGCTTAAATTCTTAAACGTTTAAAAAAAGTCAATTAAGCGGCAAAATTGTAGATTTTTTTTTTACATGCAGACAGTCTGACGTAGTAAGTTAGTAAATAAATTTGATGTATTGAGTGACTATCATTACGTTAAAAATAATATAAAAAATATTTTTTTTTTTGTTAATTCTTAATATGTAAGTATAAAATTATTTTAAATCTAAAAAAAAATTTTTTTTTGTTTTGACGTTTACGGATGATCAAAATTCAAAGTCAATTGCTAAAAAGTTCACTACATTTCTGTCCGTAAAAGTTTTATACGTCAGACAGTTTGCAGACTGAAAACAAAATTTTGACGTTAAAGAATTTGCGGTTTCGTAACGTTTTTAAGCAATATTTTGCGAAATATTCAGCTTCTCAATGTATTTTTGAAAAATTACAAACATCATATTGTCAATTCCGAATTACTAATATTCTGCTCAAAATAATTGTAATAGAGTTATCATAAATTAAATTCGCAAATAAAAATATATGTCAAAGTCTACGAAAGAAGTAATCACACGTAACAAGCATTTAAAGCTAACGGTCGTTTTAAATTTTTCCATAAAGATAAAAATTTCTCTATTTTATTTTTCCTCTAACAAAGAAGCTACCATAAATTAAAATGACCTTTTATTTACTAAAAAAAAATGTTTTCACTTTTCAAAAATATTTAAATATTAAAACAAAAGCGCAATTTTCATAAAAAGGATACTTTAAAAAATATCCTTCTGTACGAAAGTTGTTTATTTAAATAAAAACAAAATATACATACTCATTTCATGTTGGAAATAAAATACTGATTTTGACATTCCACAATCTTTTCACATCTTTTTTCTACTTGACGCGAAATGTGATGCGACGGAGGAATAGATACTATTTTGAAATTTTTTGATGTTAAAAGGTTAGAAAATTGTTTTAAAATAAACTGCTGACAGAAAAAAGTATAGAGAACAAATAGTGAATTAGAGAAAGAAAAATCTTTTCGAACTTTTTTAATTTTTGGTAAAAGCAGAGGCAAAAGTGATGAAGAAAAGTAATCGAGTTAAAATTCATTTTCTTCTGCTGCCGATTACTTACCTTTACATTAGAGTTAGCAAAATTACTCAATATTAAAATATCTAATAATACTTATATCTTTTCCATTTTCTTCAACATTTAAATTTTATTCTTCAGCAACATTTATATCTCTGTTGGCAATAAAATATACGAGATTAGAATAAAGCAAAATACTCGCGAGCAGAATAACATTATGAACGCCTTTCGTAATAAATAGTGAGACTGCAAATCTGTCACTTAGCATATTGCTATGTGCGACGCATCTAGTAGAATAAAGCTGAATCTCTACGAAAGGAATTTGTGATCTGCCAAAAGTCTACATCGTAGCTAAGTTTGTAATTGTAACGGGGGAATTTATTATCAGCCCTGATCTAGCAACTATTTCAGAGATAAACTAACTTTAATATTTCCCTAATACTGATATTAATACACCATTCACCTTGTAAGTGTGAATTACTGAATTATAACAGTATTATCAAAGACGCATATGTATATCTATCAGACATCCAATTTAGTGTAATATTTGTAAGTATAAAAATTTAGTGTAAAATTTTTAAGTATTAAAAAAAAGATTTTCTCATTTTCGTCAGACCCATCTATTTAGCTTCGTCGAAAGAAGCAAATTTTAAATTCTATGATACAGCAAAATAATAAAATAAAAGACAGAGGAAAAGAAAAAGCAAAATATAAAAAGGAAACCGCAAACATATGATTAAGTTACTACAAAGATTTTTTTAAAAGATTATTAATTTAAAAAAAATTATTAGTATTTTTAATGTCCTTGTTTATAAACAATTTTTTTTTTAAGATAAACAGAACTGCCATTCTGATAGATTTCTACCTAACTCTACCTAACTTTCTCTAAACTCAAATTTTTGAAATTGATGTTCTTAAATTATTAAGTTTTTTTGTAACAGAAAAAATGTTGTTTGCAGGCCACATTCTTCTTAATATTGAAAATAACACTTTTTCTTGTTCTCTCGTAGGTTGACAAAGTTATTATAAATACAAATTTCATTTGTCCTAAAAGAGAATCTAAAAGCTTATTGACTTTTTTTCCTTCCTGTGACAACCCTTCATACAAACTGGTTTTAAATATATTAAGATATATCTTACATTCATATACACATATTTGGTGCGTATTTAAATATGGATATGATAATCAAATGATAAATGTACATATATAAATAGAATAAAAATATAAAAATAAAATAAAAAAATTGTTAGGAATAATTAAAAGTGAACGTATTTAGTTTGGTACGCATGGAAATTTATAAATGATTGTTGTTAATTTTAAACAAGAATTGTTATTCGCTTCTAATGTATGTTCAATAGATAGTATGATCAATATCACAGAATGATAACAACCTTTACATCAAGTTCACAACATATCAATAATTACGCATGCATAATGCACATTTATTCTACTTTGCAGTAGCATGTATTATTTATTTTTTTTTTAAAAGAATTTTGGAAACTCAATTAAAACTTATTACACATTTACATAATATATACCTAATATTGCGTTAACATTTGTTAGATAAAAATTTAATACTGGAGTAAATTTTTTCTTCGTTGAATATGCTTGATAGAATCAACGAATTAGAAATACTAAAGGAATGAGCATCTTTGTTTCTATCTCGTTTGCTCTCACTGAAAAATCGTAACTTGAAAAAAAAAAACATAGTGAAGCCAAAACCTTTAGGTAATTTTTTTTTTGCTCCGAGCATTGTTAAATTGAAATTAACACTAAATGCAAAATGTTGTTGTTTTTTTTTCTTATAAAATTATGAGCCGCTATATAAAAAGTAACCAAAGATTTTTTTATTTTGCTTATAAAATTAGTGCTCTTTGAAAATAAAAAATCATGAAATATTTAATAATAAGTGTTAAACAAAAGAATATTATTTGATTTGCAAAAACAAAGTTTTTTTTGCACCATATACATGTGAATATTATTAATTTCAATAATTAAAAGAAATATTTATTCAACCGCAATTTGATTAATTCATAATAATAAAAAAAAATTATTCAAAAAAAAAAAAAAAAAAAAAGAGTTTTGTTTAAATTTGATATTTTTTTACAGATATTTAAACTGAAAAAATATTTTGGTATATTTTTTAGTTTTTACTTTAAAAGAAAATTTCAACTTATCCTTCTTACAAATTACACATATTTCGAAGCTCGAAATATGTGTAATTTTCGATAATGCTCGAAGCAAATGCTTGTTTTTTCAAGATACTCCTTCCTTTCGTATTTTTCTAATCCGTTGGCATAATATATGCGTCTCCGTATCACCGCATTTTGGAATTCAAGATATTTTTTCACTCTTTTTATAGTTGGAAAATGAAAAAGCACGATAAAATTATGTCGCCTAGACGTATGCAAAATGAGTCAAAAATAGCATCTGATGTGAATCTCCCCTTTTCAAAATTATGGATTGTTTTAAGATTAATTATATTAGAAATATTAATTTATATTTTTTAATTTATTTGAATCTATATTTATTTCAACTTTGTTTTATGCGTACGTAAAAAAAAAACTAAATGATATGTATAAATTTTTCACATTTTCATCTTTTATACATGCTAATAACTATAATATAAATTTATATTGGATAATAATATTTATACATAATTTTCTTTGTATAAATAACTAATTTATTACAATAAAACTATTTATTTTTAAATAAAATTAATTTAAAAATGTGAATTTTGCATACTATATACTTCGTGTGACTTCAAAATTGCATTAATGCTATATTGATAAGCAGTTCAGCATTTTGAATTCATAAGCTGAACTGTGTATAAATACTGTGTTATTGCAATTTTGAAGTGTTAGGCAATTTTATATTTCTAATAATATATATGTATGTATATATGTATGCCATATATATATACATAAGTATGTATATATATATAATTTATAATATGTGTATATGGATATATAAACTACATTTATAATTTATAATAAATTACATTCATTATATAAAATTAACATATTTGTTTTTGTTTTTTGTAAATTTTAAAAATTACATGTTTCATTATTTTTTTTTCAATTATAAATCGCCTTAGAAATATTTGAAAATTTTTGTACGTTATTCGCATAACCTATTTAATTATCTGTCCTTAAATTCTGTAGATTTAATACATATATCATATATGTATATATTAATATTTATATATTAATGTATATATTATATATTAACATTTATATATTATGTAATTAATAAACATTCGGTAAAAACTTTTTAAACTATGTAGGTATACATATGTATATAAAAAGATATTAATTAAAAATATTTAATAATCGATTCGATTCATTCATAATTTTCAATATCTCTATTAAACATTTTACCATTACTAAGATTCAAAAATACATACAAAAAAAAACTTATTTTAGCATAGTACTTCTCTTGCTTTCAAACTTGCAAAAATACGGTATTTATAGAAAATGCAATTCACAAGTTGCAATTGCTGAAACTTTTTTAATTAATAGCGTATTGCTGCAATTTTGAAATCAAAGTACGTTTAACATACTACGATTGTTATATAATTAAAATGTAATAATGTAAATGTACAATTGTATTTACTTTCAAAAAGTAAAAAAAAATATAAAAACTTCATAGCCCCAATTTTATATAATTTTCGTTTTTTTTTTTTAATTTATAAATCTAAAATTTTCTTTGTTTTTTGATAACTTTTTTTATTTTTAATATTTTAACTTTATTTTTCCTTTAAATTTTTTTATCCTAAAAAACAGTAAAATTTTACTCTAAAATATTTTCTTTAAACAAACAAAAGTGAATTAAAATTAAATAAATTTAAAAAATGGCAGCGTTGCATTCGTTTGAATTCGTATTTGCAGTTCTGAACACGAGAGATCTTATTAGTTGAAACTGCACCGCAATAGAATTACTAAAACAGTGCTGCCAACAAAAAAAACTATGGTGTCAAAAAGTTTTATTTATATTCTCTACTAATTGATTAACGTGGTTACATTGCAGATATTTGTTAGAACTGCAAACGCGAATTCAACTTACTTAAAATTTAGACAATAAAATGAAAATTTAATTTTGTTATTTTTAATTTTTCACCCATATTCTGTTAGTCAGGCCACTGATGTGATAAAAAAAAATCAACATGTCACGTCATCTCAAATATACCTTTCCGGTAGTTGTGTCTGTAAACGCGATAAAAAATATTTGTAGGTTGGAACTATCAACAACTGATTTGATGTCACAAAAAAGTTCAAGCTTGAATGAAGTAAAAATATTTTGAGTTTTTGCATATAAAAAAGGACAAAGAAAGTTTTAAGGTAATAGTACTTGTGAAAGTTTTAAGGTAGTAGTACTGGTGAACTTCCCACAACATTTCAAAACAATTTTGTATATATTTAAATATTAAATTAAAACGTATCTAAATTTTTTTAAATTTCCATAGCAAAATTTCGAAAAAAAAGGTCTAAAAATTTACTTAAGAAATTAAAAATAACTTGTTAATGCTTGTTTGAGTATTCCGAAAAACTTTCGGCTATATCAGCATTGTCTACCATTAATTTCATTAAAAGTTTATATTACTCAAATTGCTCATTCTTTTTGTTCTGTAATATACAAAAACACAGGTTATTAATTTCAAAATTAGTAGAGTAAAATTTTTACTATAATATTAATTAATTTTTTCAATAACATGATAACTTCGCCGATTTTTCCATTTTATTAAATTGATAAAATTGATATCGAATTCAAGTTTTTGGAAATCAATGAGATTGGCGTATTGAAACTAAAGCAGTACTTCCATTGTTTTTTTAAATTTTTCTAAACTATGTAAGCGTTAATCATGCCGGGGACGTAGTTCTGTTTTTATTGCGATAGCAATACAATTCAGAATTTTTGATAACCGCATATTAAAATTTTGATAATCAATGCTGTGTGCAGTAAAAACTTAATTGCCAATATTCGATTTAATATCTTATGTGTGAGGTACCATTTTAAAATAATTTTAAATTTCTTTTATAAATGCTTTTAATACCACTTTTTATTTATTAAAAAAGCCGATTGTTAAATTTATTGTTCAAAGTATATTTTTTTAATTTGGATAGCAAAAAATGTAAATAAAATGAGAAAATTTAAAAATTAAAATAATTATCGCGTCAAAATTAAAAAATATATAAAAATGTATTTATACATAATTTAATATTATAACGTATAACAAATAACCACCATACATAGCGCAGTTAAAAGCTGCAGTCACACTGTGTATTTCGATTAATCAAATTACGCAGGGTGTTTCGCATAAGGTAGCAAATAATTTCAGGGATGATTCTTTGATCAGTTTCCAGGAAAAAATTGTAAAAGGGGGGGAAGTAGAGTGCAGATACACACGTTTTCGAGCTACAGCTTGTTGAAAAAATAGATTTCAGATTGTGCTGCACAAAAAAAAAACAGGTATAACTTTGGAACCATGCGACATAGCCCCTGAAATTATGTTCGCCCTTATGCGAAACACCCTGTATATGTATATATATATATCTTATAATAGTTTTAAAATAAATATTTATTTTAAAATTTTTCTTTTTTCAAAATACTATTAAATAATTAAAATATTTTATAACAATACATTCAAAACAATTTTACTCACTTACATCCATTAATGTCTCTAACGTCAATCTCAAAATTAATTTATAAAATAATTAATAAAAAATTTAATTTTTTTTTAATATTCGAAATTTTTGAGAATAATTTTAACATAACCAACGGCAATAATAATTTTTTAATAAATTAATTTAGCGTGTTAATTTAAAAAATTGAATTCTGTGGCAGTAATACGACTTTGAAAATTTGATACCTGGTGTTCATACAAAATTCAGATTATGATTTACAATTGCTGAATTATGTTGTAGCGAAGTATTAGTGCAATTTTGAAGTCATAGATACTGTAATTTTGTAATTTCACGGCCAGATAACAGATATATTAATTAAAAAAATTTAAACAGCGCAGATAGATGACAATTCTTTGTCACATTTGATTTTTTTTTAAATATTTAAAAACATTTTTTATCTCTTGATTAAAATTATCTCAAAACTATTAAAAAAATGTTTGTTTCTCTATCGTATTATTCAATCGAATAATAATATCCATTTTTGAAAAAGATGTTTCAGCAATTTTAACAAATTTTTTGAAAAAATTATCCACTGAAATGGAATCGAATCAAACTTATAGCGTTTTATTAAAAAATAACCAAAAATAAAAAAAAAAATTTAAATCCAATTGTATACGCTTAAGACACGCGGTAAAACAACCGAAACGTTTTTTTCAAAAATACATACAAAAATATATTTTTATTACAAATTCACTGTCTGGTAAAAAAATAAATCTAATTAACATTTTATATATGATAAATATACAGGTTGATTTCGTAAAATTTTGACCATTTATCTAAACAATAGCATATAATATTGTACTTTTTAAATAATCGCCCTGCATATATACAATTACATAAATTCAGAATAACATATTATTATGTATGCGTTATAAATATAAAAAATAAAAAAAAATTAATTACTTTATTTATAAGTAAAATGATAAAAAAAATAATATAAAATAAAAAAAAATTATGATACAATTAAATAATTCTCTTTCACATTTTTTTAAGTATTAAATATTCATAATAGTTCTCCAAATATAAAAATAATTACATTGTGTGTAATGAAAGTTGTGATAATAACATTGTGCGCAAGTGAAATATAAAAATAATGACATTGTGTGTGAAAGTAAGTAACGATGACATTAAATAAAAGAAAAACCTGATGAAATGAATTTCATTTAGAAAATTAAAAAAATTTTGAATAATCGAAAATTATTATTTAAAATTTCGTATTTACTTTATTTCACTATTTATAATGCGATCTTTTTTTGATAAACTTCAATTAGTTACTTACATTAAATCAGTTTTATCAAAAATCGTGTAATACGTACATTCCAAAATTTTCAAATTATTTATTCCATTGCCCAGGACTCCTTAAATAAAAAATCAAGACAAAAAATTAAAGTTTTGCTTTTCTTTTAATGATTTGTATGGTTTTCTAACGCTTTTCAAGAGTTTGTTTATTGTGGAAAATTTTTTATTATTAGTAAATAACAATGCCATATATATCTATATATTGTAATTCTAATTATATATTGTAGAATTTTATATTACCATTTAATGGTTCATATACGTATTATAACCAGTGCTCGAAGTGAGGCGGGATGGAGTGGGATGCCATCCCAGTACTTTTAAATAATTGGAAATCCATCCCACTACTTAATAGGAGAGAAAAATGCGTTCCGGAACACGTTTTTTAAAATTTAAGAAAATTTTCTAATGAATTTTAAAAAATTTTTTAACAAAAAATTATATATATGTAATTTTAAATAAGATCAATTTCAAATAGTAACGTATAATTTTTTTCTATTAATGAAATTTTCGTTACTACATAGTAGTCTATGCATTTCTTTGGTAACAATTTGCACAGTTTTTGGTTCAATTTTTAGTTGATTTAATTTTGAATATAAATATTCTCGTTAGTTTACTTCCAAAGTTTGGTAAATTTTGTTTAGTTATTTTTTTTTAAAAAATAACTAAAATAATACTTTTTTTTTTTTATTTTTTTTTTTACCATCCCACCACTTTGAGTATCCCACTTCGACCACTGAATTTATAACTATATATATAAATAGAATACGTATATGAACCATTAGTTGGTAATATGAAATCGTACAATATATAATTAAAATTACAATATACAGATATATATGGCGTTGTTATTTACTAATAATAAAAAATTTCTCCAATAAACATACGCCCAAACTCTTGAAAAATGTTAGGAAATCATACAAATCATTAAAAGAAAAGCAAAACTGTAAAAGGAAAAAGTTTTACTTTTTGCTCTGATTTTTTCTTTAAGGCAATAGACAATAAAAAAATTATTTGAAAATTTTTGTTCTACGGAACAATCTATGTATTACGTATATTACATTTTTGATTTAATGCAAAAATCATTACTATTTATTTAACCACTCAATGATCAATATTATAAGATTTGGGACACAATTATGTGCATACATACAATATATATTTAATTTATAATAACATACAATATTTTATATTTAATTTATAATATTGTCTAAAGTATTAAAAAGAAAAATTTATTTACTTACTTAATTATTTAAAATTTAATTTAACACGTTTTTTTCGTATTTATTTTATATATACGTTCTTTTAACTTTTGTTAATGTCCCAGTTTTACTAAAATGTACTTCTTTTTCTAAGTTTTCTGTTGAATTTTTGCATTCATGGCTTCGATCCTTTTCGCTAACGAATTCATGTTCAATATTATCTTTTTTATTATTACATGGTTGCGAAAATGGATTTGATGTATTCATTAATAAATTTACATCTTTACCACTATTTCGGTATGTTATAGGTCTCGTTTTACTACAATTTTAATTATTTACATATTATTTTCATTAAATATTACAAAAAAGACTTACGGATTTAATTGATTTCGATGTTCTGTATGAAAAACTGAACTTTTACATAATCGTCTCGATGCATGCCAACCAACAACAATTCCAATTGTAAATACAATAAATATAACTACGATAAGTATAATACTCCATGATAAATTACTTGAAGCATATTGCAATTTTTCACCTTCAACACCATACAAATTTTCATCATTTAAATATGGATCTAAAAATATATAATGAAATATAATAAATTTACAATTTTCTGTTTTAATTTTTCTATTAGAACATAATGAAAATTACTACGCTCAATATTTATACTAAAAAAATAATATTTTAAATAACTTTTTAGCCGTATTCGTAAGTTAATTTAAATTGTGGTTAAATCATTAATCACAAATTTGGTTAAATTGAGTTATCAAATAAGAAAATTTTTGTTAACACTTACTTCCAATACTTTTATCTATATGCTCCGGATTTATGGACGTTAATGTTATTCGATTATTATCATTATCATCATTTGTTTGTATACCATTTGTATCCTTATAGTTTGTATATATTGAACGTATATCACTACCAATTCCATCGATACCACCATTGTCATCATTTATATTATTAATTGAATTGCTGTTACCGTATCCATTAATATTATTATTATTAATATTTTTATTATTTCCAATATCATTATAATTGTTATTTATTAATGGTTTACCAGTTCCGCTTACTGTACCACGATTGCCAACTGTTGATATTATTCTTGGTTTTGATATGAATTGGTTATTATTATTTAGTAATATATCATTATTACTATGTCCACCGTATTTTTTACATAAATTATCTATATTCGATGTTGTATTTAACATTTGTATATAATTATTTTGTTGTATATCACTTTTATAATAATTTTGTATTGTTATTATTGATTTACATTCATAATTACTAATATCCCATACACAATATGGATCTTGTAAATTTAAGCAATTTTTACAATGTTGTATATGTGAACAATAATGTAATGGTAATGATGTTATATGACCATCACCAATAACAATCAAACTTTGTGTTTTTTGTGATACCGTCAATTCACGTATTGGTGAATTTTTTGGTAATGCATCCATTTCTGATATAACAATTGTTTTTATATCGTTTATATTATTATCATATATATTTGTAAATTTAATTATTTTACCATTATCAGTACCAGCAAATATAATATCATATGTGTTATTGTCAATGGTTTTAATTTGTTGATCAACTGTTATTGCTGTTAAGCGATAATTTAAACTAACTCTTGTTAATAATGGTTTACCATATAATGGTATTATTGATTGCTCCATTAATGTATGTGTTTTAACAAAATTAACAGATGTAGATGATAATGTTCTTGAATCATCAACACATTTACCAGGTCTTGGCTCTGGTACATCATCTTTTGATAGTGGTAACCAATTTGATGTTGAATCTTTTTGATATTTAAATTTGCCTTCAAATGAATCTAAGATATCATTAATATTAAATGCACATATTGCCGAACCAGGAATTGCATTAACTGATGTTGTAAATATTCCATATACAATTGAAGTTTTTCCACTATATAATGGATATAGGCCATCAATAATTTTACTAGTTGATTGTATTTCATCAAAATAAAATGGATATTCCCCAGGTACTGAACAATTTAAACGTGTTTTTAAATAAGATGTCCAACGATCAGAGAATGCATATGGTCCACCGCGATCATTTTTACAAACTCTACCAACACGTGAATATATTGTCTAAAGACAGAAAAAAAAAGATTGAAAAATATATTTTGAAAAACATTTTATTTGTAATGGAAACAAAAACCGCTCTTTTCGAGCTTCTAAACTAAAATGCTTGCTCAAAAATTGATAGATATTTTGTACTAATAGATAAAAGTTTTTGTAATTGCATATATAATACGATAATTATTTTTAAGAAAACATGCTTACCTTGCCACAATTCATATATTCCATTGCAATTTCACGGAAAAAAAAGAAAACATAACCATTTCGTTCAAGTGCACTAACAAATGCTGGTTGATTCAATTGCTTTAAATCATATTGTTCTGTTCGTAAAGTTTCTCTATATATCAACGGATCAGCACCTGAAAAATCAGCTACAGTTGCAGAATATAATTGACCATCAGTATATATATAAGTTGAATTATGTTGTGGATTATACGGACAACGTCCTTGTGCTTCAACTTCATTAATTAATTGAAATTGTTCATTATTATCAATTGATGATGATGATGATAGTGATAAACTGTCACCATTTAATTGTCTATTTTGTTGTACAATATTATTATTATTATTTGTTGTTATTGTAGTTGATATTATAACATTTGGATCTGTTGCTACAGTTGTTGTTGTACTTCCAACAATATTATAATTTGATGATTTTAATGTAGACGATGATATTGGTAATGCTGATTTTGTTAAAGTATTATCACTATTACTACGATTATTTCTAGTACCACGATTAAAATTATTACTATTATTATTAACAGCATAAAAACGGCATCTTGGCTTATATGAATTTGTCCCGCAAATCATTATTTGTGTTGAACTTATTCTTGCAAATACCCTTATATAATTTTGACAGTCTTGTTCTGATTTACCTTTAAGTGCACATAATTCACGATCAGCATCTGATGAAAACCATTCAATTTGATATTTTTTTCTTAAACCATCTAAACTTAAATTGTATACATGATTACGAGCACCAATTAATATTGATGTATCATCTTGATCAAGAATTTTAAAGTAATCGGTACTATTGCCAAAAAATGATGGAAAATTTTTTAATTCTAAAAAAAAAATCAAAGAATAAATAAAATTTTTAATTAATATTTTAATAATTGTTACCTGTATTCAAACTAATTTTCGGCTTTATATCTGGTGCCCATGTTTCTATTGTACTAATTAAATTTGTTAATACTAAAAATAATTTGATAAAAATTGTTGTTATTGTTAGGATATTTTGCCGACAACCAACAATTTGTATATAAAATTTGAAAAGCATTTTTTCAATTTGAATTTTTTATAAATTTCATTTGATAAAATTATTTAATATTATTTGATGGTTCGCGCATTATTATAAAAAATAAAAAAATTCATTTTAATCCATCATTAATTTCCATATGATGATTGTCGATTTCTCTTTTTATTGCTATTGTTGTTGTCATCATCACTCTTCTTAATATCATCATTAATAATACTTTTTATTTTTCATTTAATATTTTTTTTTTTAATATGAAAAATTTAATCTCATAATTTTAAAAATTTTCAAGTCTCATCTCATCGAAAATTTGATTTCGTTGAATTTGTGTGTTCCAAACTCGAACGACAAAACACTAAAATTATACAAAGGAAAAATTTAAATGTAATTATAATTTTATAATGTGAAAAAAAGAAACAAAAAAAATAACAAAGTTTCTTCCTTAAATCTTTTGTGTTAAAAGAGTTTTAAAACATAAAATTCTTAAATAAAAATTGCATAAGTTAAACTGCAAAATACAAATCAAGCATGTACTTTTTTTAAATACGATTTGGTAGCTATTTTACTTTCCATCTCATCAACGCATTTGGACAAGCTTTTTCCTCTAAGAATGCCAGTGTATGTACTTCATGTGCTATAGCGCCCTTCCCGTTTATGGTGAAAAGATATATAGATGAAATTTTAATCCTTTTAAAACCCATAACTTTTTCGTCAATAATACTTGGTGTCGACTTTGTGTCAGTTAATGCTAAAAATTTTTAGTTATCTATTGTTACTTCTATGATTGGTAGTTCTTCCGAGGATAATTTAGAAAAAAATCGACATTATTCGATTGATCTCTACAATAACCATCGACCATTCCATTGTCTGGTATTATGGTCTGGGGACCTATTGCAGGCTATCTTTTGCCGGATCCCTATTAGAATGAGCTAAATAACGATACTGTCTTTGAATACTTTAAATACCTTGATGCTGTCTTATTTTTTTCAATATCGCCTACGCCCATTGGTTCAACCTAATCGGTACGTTGGCCTACATTACTTTTAAAATATCTTGATCTTTGGTGGTTTCACTACACTAATTGGTGAAACAGCCTAAGTTTTTAATTCAGAACAGTTTCACCACATTTACTAATCAAAAACAGTGTGGAATACGTTGAAAATATATTTTATTCAAAAACACATGCTCGTAAGCGATATTATTTAAAAAATTGATCAAAAGCGAAGCGACTAGTGAAAATATAAACGAACATATCCCTGACTTTTTATCAACAGTAGAAAAATACAAAGCTATTGCCATTAACCTTGATAAAGATTTATTGGTTACCCCGTTCCTGAACAGTCTACCAGAAGAGTTTGAGACATTCAGAATAGCTATAGAAACACAAGATACTTTACCAAATTTATTAAATTTGAAAAAAAAAAAAAAGAATTTTAGAACGTCATGATAATGAAGAACATTTTTCGTCGAATCAAGTTTTATATGCGTCTTAATGATAAGGGTATGAAAAGGTACAAGAAGAAGGTAAATCGGATGGATTGACAAAAATGTGGGAAATACGGCCACATAAAATCAAAATGCAAGAAAATTTCAAAAGTTTAAGTAGTGAAAATTTCACAAGTTTAAGCTTGGATTCTTGACAGTGGGCCAAATGACATAAGATCAAAGATGTTAATTAATTCAGCAAACAGAGTAAAATGGAAAATGCTCTTTTTACGGCAAATGATTAAGCTGCAGAAATAGCTGGAAAAGGTGAGGTTATGTTGCATATTGTAATATATGTATAATAAATATTGTAATAAAATTATCTTAAAAGATACTCTTTACGACGAGCTCCCGGACAAACTTTTATTCTCAGTAAAGAAATTTACAAAGATAAAAAATAAATTTTTATAAAAATGCGGCTCTGATTTTAAATAAAAATTATATTATAATGAAAGCTTATAAAGTAAATGATTTATTTTCTTATAAAAATGGCTTATTGTTTAGAAGTACAAGAATTTTTTTTATTTTATTTGCTCTTTAAAAATTACACTATTTGTAAATAGAACTAATTACATTATACGAGTATACATATCCTTGCTATTTTTTTTAGAGATCTTAGTATTTAGCTGTCTGATCTGTTCTGTTTGCATTAATTTTGAAAATTATTGGTAAATACATAATTAAAATTGAAAGTTCAAAAAATTAGAACAAATATTATCAAATATTAAAAAGTAGTTTTAAAATAATGAATTAAATCTATTGATTTGTTGCTAACTTAAGTGGTAATTTTTCACCTTTTGTTTTAGTTAATTGAAATAAATTTTGTTCAACAAATACTTTTTTATTTCAATTAAACACCTACATAGACAGTTGTTTCCCTTACGGTTAGTATTAAATAATGTCAAGTAAATTATATTTTTTTTTATAGGTGAATGAAAAGAAAACTCCCTTTTATTCGGAATAAAATACTTTTTATTTTTGCTAATATATTTCGTGCGCTACATACGCACTTTATCAAAGCTGATTTTCTTGTCTGGGAAGCTCAACGAATTCCCTCAATTCAATTTCTAATGAAGCGGCATAGCTCAAAACAGCATCATCACCTTATAGTTGAATTGACCCGCAAAGATCCAAATGTGCAATGTCATCGATATAACTTTTAACGGGTCTCAATATTGAAAGCGCAAGATCCTATTCTAACTTTTTATATCCCACTAATTGTAATCTGAAAAACCATAGAAAAGCCCTGAGAAAAATTAAGATTACCACATTACAACAAAAAAATATCGTGATTAACATTTTTTGAAAACAAAAGCTTTTTGGAAATTTAAAGATATTATTGGTATGTTAATTACTATTATTCATACCGTTAGTCATAAAGTTCTTCAAACTTAAATACACCGCAGTAGTATTTGAATTTTTCTCGAAACCGTATTGCTCCTTGTGATGAATATTATTATTCGTAAGATATATATTAAGGCGTACTTTAATAACCATTTCAAATATTTTTGACATGCTCTATAAAACAGATATTTGGCGGTAGTTTGAGGGGTCGATCTTGTTACCAGTCTTATGGATAGGGGTTAGAAAAATATGAGACATATTCGTCTAAAATCAAAAATTGATTTTCCCCTCGTCAAGCCAGATTTCGGTTAAAACAATAATATGAACACGAAAATCATATGACTAAATTAAACTTTCCAAATTATAAATCTTGTTCCTGAGACTCTGAATATTCATATAAATAATATTAATATTTGCAGTTCCTTGCATTTGCAAGCGCCACCAGGTTGTCTACCCCTGACACATTCAGAACATCTCTGTAACCAGATATATCCATATCATAAGACATCGTTTAAAATAATATAAAAAAAAATCTGATGTGTTTAGTGAAAGTATTACGAGTACAAAAGATTATGAAAATGCTTTTTGAACACTTCTTTCAATTTTAAGGAAGTTAGCAAGTTTTAGGTAACATACCTAGAACAGTGTAAATTTGGCTATTAGTGGTATTCGCTTTGTGCTACCCGAATTCCCTGAAAAGTTCCAGAACATAAATATCCAATTTCAAGAAATTCCAACATCCCATTCCGTGGATATGGTAAAAAATGTAAAATTGGCCCCCAGAACGGTTTCCGGGCCCTGATTTTCCCAAAAATATAAATTTTTAAATATCAGGGCCGAATTTAAATATTAAATTTCAAAGAAATTGGTTGATTATTTCTCTTTATACACAAAAATGGTCCGCAAAAGCGTCGGATTCTCGAGGTCTGATATATCCCAAAAGTTGATCAATCGGGCCGTAACCAAAATAAGCGCACATATAAGATTTCATGAAAGGATGAAAGAAATACTTACATTTTAGGTAAAAAGTACTTAGAATTTTTTTTCAAAAAAAAAAATTTTTAATAAACTTTCAGGAAATACGAGATACTCTTTGGAACCATGGTTGATTACATCTTTCTGCAATAGGATAAACTGAAGTCCACGAAGTAAATTTAATAAAAAGCATTCAACGGGAAGAAATATGTTCAATAATATTGGACTATTGGACTGTTGAAAAATAGGTTTATATGCTTAATAAATCAGCTTAATTATTCCCCAATGAAAGCTGTGTAAGCGAAAATTTGTAACAATTTATTCGATGCCAACAGCATGCAACCAGTAAATAAAGAATTACATAGAAGAAAATACATCAAATTCCGAATTTTGATGCTCTTGATCATTGATTTTTTATAAATTTGTAAAAATATTATTTATTGAAATAACTTTGTTTATTATTACTTCTTAATGTTATCCTTACACAATTTATTCCTTAAAAGTAAACAGTATTTTTCATTCGACTCAAAAATATATCACAAATATTAAAATATGCAAATCTAAGCCTAAAATACATATGCAATTTTCGTTGGTTAAAAATTTATAATAAATAAAATACTAATACATACACTTAAAAAAAACCTTTCTTCATGGCAAACTAAATTAAAAATATTTAAAAACAGTTAAAAATAAAGCCTTCATGGCGATAAGAAAAATATCAATTATTACGCATAAGAACTTTGCCTTTTGAATACCTTATAATTGCACTTTAATCCATTTTCTACGTTGGCTAGCTCTTCCATTTTTTTTAATTCCTTGTATTTTGTTTTTTTTATGTCGTTGCTTTTTTTAATCGTTCTATAAACTCTTTTTAAACTTAATGAAATCTTATTCATTAAGTTTAAAAAGAGTTTCAGGTGTAAAGTTTTTCCTCTTGTTTTTCATTAAATATTTTTTGTAACTCAAGTGGTTACTTTAACATGTCAAGAGGTGCTTCTTCTTGCAGTGTTCTACTTCTATTTACTTGTGGTTTTTTTTTCGTAGTCTTTCCAGTCTCTTCTGGAACACTTGTTTATGAAAGTGGCAAGCCAAAAGAATTAGTACCGCAGACTCTAGATGTACTTGCATCTAGCTAAAAAAGTTTTATCACATCTTGTTACAATTCAGTAAAGTAATGAAGTCTACTTGGTCCACTATATGTAACTGTTCTCTCCTTCATATTCTGAACCAGTTTTGTTTTAATATAAGTTTTCCAACCAAGCCAAATTTAAAATTTATGAAAGAAATTCGAAATTTACTTCCATTCAAAAGTTCTTTAACAACTTACTTTTTTCCAACTGGAAACATAATTTTGAACCGGTCTGATGCTACCACTTTAGTCCAAAACTGAAATTCTTTGAAAGTTCTATTCTTTGAGCTTTAAAATAAATACATTTTTCTGCTTATGTAAAATTACTTAACAAAAGAAAACTCAAAAAAAAAAATTCAAAACTTAAAAATTTAAAACGACCGTTCTCTTTGAATTGCTTGTTACGAATGATTATTTCTTTATAGAATTTGGCAGTTATTTTTATTACGAACGTATATTATGATTACTCTATTACGAATACTAGTAATACATTCGTAGTAGAATGATAGTAATAGAGAAGTAAGAATATGAAATTCGTAATGTTCTGAATTTCGGAGCTGCGAACGGAATTCATGATGGGGCTGAATATTCCAGAAATTAAACTTCTGCAAGTAAAATATTTGAAAGTCTATTGAATAACTTACAACAAAAGTTTATTTATATTTGTGGAATTTCTATTAACGCTAGGTGTACAAAAATTTATTGGTACATGCGCTTGGTTATAGAACATTCACAGAAACGGAAAACTGCTATTGTAAGTCTACGTAGAATAGTTCTATTTGGAGTCGTCGATATATATATGCATGTCTATATAAATCTATGTCTACATTTTTTATATATGAAAATTTAAGAAGATGGAGGACATGCAGGACATACGGATAGAGACAATAAATTATCTACTTACAATAATTTATATTTTTAAAATAAAAACTTACAATAAAAGTTTAACCCTATAACACAAGACTTAATTTGAAATTACTGTCGAATACAAATTATATTATGTATTATGTAAATAAATATGTACATTTCATATGTAGGTAGATGTGGGAAATGGTAAGTTCGTAGGTATGTGTAAATAGATACTTACATACCAACCTACTTACCATTATTAATATTTCTTTTTGTTTTATTAAAAATAATATTTAAATATAATCACGATTTTTATGCAATTTTTAATTAATCAAATTTAACAATGTATGTTATTTACCTCCCATTTACATAATGAAATATAATATAGAAAATTTTGTAATATTATTGAAACTAAGTACATACAAATATAAATGTCTATTTTGAGTTCAATAATGTTAAAATTCCTTTAATATTTGCATTGTTTGTAGCTAATATTTTTGCGTTCTTCTCTTTAAGGGATGAAAATAAAGAAAACCAATAAACTTAGCTCAAATATCGCCCCCCCCCGCAAATTGTCAATAATTTTGTGATTTGGTCAGCTTTTTCCACCAAAAGGGAGAGAAGATGTAAGTAGATGCACGTAATATGTACATATGTATGCACGGAATTTTAATTATGTATTAAATATTTACATAATTATATAAAATATACATTTGTTTTGATATAACAAAAATATTAATGCATATATATAGTATGTCTGTCAGCCGTGATTTGTACACAATGTATGTGTAGGCAAATACATAAATATTTTTCAGAAAAGCTTTTGTATAAAAAGAAAACCTTACTTACTCTCAATTAAAAGTTCCTTACTTCAGGGTTAAAAAAAATCAAAAATAAAAATTCTAAATTTTCAAGAAAATTCTCAATATTTACAGAAAATAACTGGAAAATATTAAAAAAAAAAAAAATATGTAATAATATTATACCTCTTCCTCTCTCTCACTTTGCATATGCATATATGTATGTGGTTCTTTTTCCAACTTATTTGTTTATTTGCATTTTTTGTAGCTTACTTATTTTGTTATTACTTTTGACTTTTTCTTTTAAAATAATTTTTCCTTTTTTTACATAAAATACTTTCAAATCTAATTGAATTTCTGAAATATTCCGTTCAAAAACATATCATTTATATTACGATCACACGATCATTTCATTTTAATTTAAATTACAACAAAAAAGTTGAAATTGAAAAAGTAGAAACAAAAAAAAAACGCTCAAAAAACAATTGAAAATAAAATGGACGACATTTACAGTTTTTTATTTATTTGTACTACACAAAGTTTTCCTTTTAAAAAACTTATATGATGTATTTTTTTTACAGGTCTTTAAAAATTCTAGAAATTATCAAAGTTTTAATTAAAAAATTGTAATTAATTTTTTGTTTTTAAAGTAAAAATTTTTGTTTAAGAAACAACAATTTAAAATATTTTATGTAAAATTTTGTTTTTTAAAGTCACATATACACACATACTTATATACACTTTTTTAAATCACAAAAATCTTTTTTGAAAAAAAAAAAAAACAGATCACGACGACAAAATACACAGTCTCAGACTCAGTAGATTAATGAGAAACGAAAAACAAAACGCTATTTAACAGAGTAGTATAAAAAAAAATGAATAGCATAACAAGTGAAAATCACTTTAATTGTGTGGCGTGCTATAGTTGATTCGTTCGCAACATGTAAAAAAACTCAAACTCCTACAAAAAAACAATAACCATTCAGCAATAATGCTATTAAAAAACAACAACAACATGTTTCTTTTTGAAAATGAAGAGGGGAAGAGAAATTAGTTGAGAGAGTGACAACGACATTTAATTAAATATTGTACACATAAACAAGATCTGCGCCAGTTGATTAAAATGTTAAAAATTATATCGTTTACTGTGACGAACAGAACCAGAGCGATGAGCGACAACGGCGGAAAATCGCTTTTTCTGTTTTTAAATTAATATGCAAATTTTTTTTTAAATACTTTACTTGAAATCAGCTACGTTTTTACTATTGCCGTCAACGAGAGCGATACCGACAACGACCATTATATTACAAAATCAGATTTTCGGTGTCGTTGAATTTATTAGTTCTAGTTAGAAATTATGCCAAGCGGAACTTAGTGGAATTGAAACACATTTGGTTGTCAAGTTATTTGTCAGTTTATAAATAATCAAAAAACAAAAATGATCTTTTGCATAAACAAATATTTTAAATAAATATATAAATGATTTTTGAATAAGTATTTTTGCAAATATAAAAAAATAAGTTGTTGAAAAGGTTTCAAGCTCTGAAGTGGTAAAGCAATAAGCCATATTGCTGATTCATCGCTCGCCAATATATTTTCTCACATCCGCAAAATACGACTATGTAGAAATATGTATCCCAAAATTTTTAAATGTATACACACAATTCTGCTATATTTTTGTAATATCGACCATCACCGGCTTACATGCATAATTTCCATACAATTTTTCTACAATATATGTTCAAAGATCAATACATTAGATAAGCCTTTAGAAACGTATTACATTGGGCAAGATTATTTAACTGGATTTAATTAAAAAACCAATATGGGTTTTAAAGAAAATATGCATTCATAATGGATTAAGCATTTGTTTCACATTTACAAACTTTTGTACAATTAAATATTTTGAAACTGACTTTATGAAAATTTGCAACATTTTAGCTGTGTTAAATTTTAAATAATCAAGAAATTGATATTTATTGTAAAACAAGAGTTTTTAAAATTTAATTATAAAATATAATTAAATAATATAATATAAAATAAAAACAATATGCAGATTATTTGTATTTTATTGAATGCATTTATAAAAATTCATATATTATAAATTTTCTGGCCTATAATTATTGTAAAGTCATGGGTTTTTTGTTTATTATAAACAATATTTTCTCTATTGAATTAGTGTAGTGTAGTTGTAGTGTCGAATATTTTTCCTCATTTTGTCTTCGCGTTTTTTCTTTCTATATATGTATTTCCTTAAAGTTCCTTTTTTGAATGTAGTACTGTGTTGCGTTTTATTGTAGACTGTAGTCGTTATATTCACTACAATATTGATGTCAATATTGCCAACTCTTTTTTGCTCAATTTACCATCTTTAGTTCAAAAATTACCCTTTCCTTCCTTTTCGAAATCCTGTTTTTTTCCTATATAATTTTCCTTTAAGAAATATTTTTTTGATTCCCATACATTTAGCATTGTACTTAAATAAAATACGTATTTGATTATTTTTTTAATTGCATAATTTACTAATGGCAACTATAACAGGTACTTTCAAATTTTTATATAAGTAATTACGTACTATATTAGTTTAAGGGCTGCAAAATAAATAAAAGGACTTTTAATTTTTGATCAAGTGTGAAATGCATTCATACAAAAATAAATAAATAAATTAAAATAAAAAAAAAAAGAAATGTTGATGAAAAGTTTTTAATAAAATTTTCCACGATTTTTGGACTTTTTCCCTTCAAAACTTCGAAATTCGCTCAAAATGGAAATTTTCCATGATTTGGCAACACTGATTGACTGTGCAGTGCGCACATTAGTTTCTGTTTTTATTGTCTGATTTGGTTCAAATTAAATTGAAGATCTCGAAGTATTAAATTTTATTTTAAATAAGATGAAAATATTTGGTCTAATTCTCTAATGTATCTGGCAGCACTACACTCAAATCACTTTAGAGTTTACTTTATGTAGTTTATGCTGATCGTAAAACTACATTACAGTAAATCTACATCCCACATATAGGCATATTATGTTATCCTACATTATATAATATACAATCAGGCTTATATTGACCGAATACTAAATACATAAACAATAACAAAATAACAGGATTATTAAACTGCAAAAAAACTTGTTCTTAATTATAATAATTATTGCAGCTCCTTTTTGTTTGATCTTCCTTTTTTCGATTTGTACGTATGTACACAAGTATAATCTAAATGCATATTATTTTCCTTGTAATTGGTGCCAAGCTTCATATGCGGCATTGCATTTTGAAGCAACAATACAACATTACTACTATTGTAAATATGAATATTGTATTCAAAGGACTATAGAACTGGCCAAAATTATAAGGCTGCAGTTAAATAAACTAAAAAAAAACAAAATTACATATGTGCATAAGTATGTATGTATGTATATTGTAATTTTGCATACCTTGCTCCCTTAAGAACAAGGTTACGGCTAATGAAAACATTAATGGGCCAAATTTTCAAAAAAGTGTCAAAATATGCCTAATTTAAGAAGTGGAATTTATTACCTCTTTGTACTTTAATTTTAAATTAAAATTTTTGCAACATTTTCAGTATTTCCGACAACAGAAAATATAACAGATCTAAAAAATGTTTTAAAAGATAAACTTTTGAAACTTTAGTACTTTATAGTATTAAATTTCCTCTGGCCTATATTTCTCCTTCCTTTCTCCAAACTATTATGTATATTCTACGATCTGTTATGTTGCTGCTTTTTTTTTCAATATAAGGCACAGCCCAATATTTTTGAAATTGACAGTTAGAATAAAACAGTTAGAATAAAATTGTGTGTGACTTAAAATCTGTTGAATACGATCATTTAAAATATTCTAAACCTTTTTATATATGTATATACATAGTATACATCATAATTTAATATATTCCTGTGGTTATGTGAAAAGCTTTTTTAAGTCAATTATAAAATTTAGGTTATGGGTATTTAAAATAAATTTAAAATATGTAGTTTTATTTATTATATACAAAACGCTTGTATACAATTTAACGAATACGAAAATCTTTTATTCGCACAACTCATAAGCAAATAAGTAAAATATGGTCGACTTTAATAAATAATACACCTACGGGAAAATACACAAGTTTACATAAATGCAAGTCAATAATGTCAACTTGACTTATTTAGCAATACAATTTTATTGCTCAATAAGTATAATTTACATAAATCTATATTTAAATTTTAAATATGCACATATGTATATTCACGACATAAATTTTTATATTAAATTAGTTAAAAAATTTCCTCATTTACACCACAGACTTATATACAGTAAAACCTATGTATAAGTAGCATTAACAAAATTAGAGTTTTAAAATTTTTTTTTCAAAACTAGCTATGTAAAATTGTGTTCATGTTTGTATAGTTCTCTTACCAAACCAAAAAAAATAAAGAAACACCTATGGAACGTGTTTTGAACAGATTTTGGCAAAACACCAAACTTGGTTGGACATTTTGCAACATAGCAACAAAAGCCTTAAAATTTATCATGAAGTAAATTATAGAATAGAGTTGTCAATTTGTAATTGGTTGGCCTTTTTTTTTGAAGGTTTTTATTTTTGACCATTATGGATCGAATCTGGTGCTAATCCATCTCACAAATTGCGTTTACCATATTATATAATTTATATAAATTTTGTAATATAAATGTAATTTCGGATAATTTGACACGCGATTCATACAGTTAAACTTTACTGTATTAAGGTAAGTTTTTTTTTTTTTGGTTGATTGTTGATAATGCGCTTTTGTTTTTTTTAATTTTTGTTACTGTTTTTGCTTTTATTTAATCCATTTTTTTCGTTTGTTTTTTTATGAACTACAGAAAAAAATTTTTGCAAGTGCCACTGCCAGTAGCTTGTTGAACTTCTCACAAAGTAAAGCGAATTTGGAAACGGGGTTTAATTTTTTTTTGTATTTTTTTATAAAAGCGTCGTTTTTTTTCCTACTAAACATAATTATTATTTTTATTTCGTTGTTGTGTTGTGTTTTTTTTCGCATTTGAGATCGTTTTCGAATTCGTTGTTGTTTTTTTATAACATACATAGTTTTTTTCTTAAACTGCGGCAGCGACGCTACTATCGCAATTTTTGGATATTAAAAATTGAAAGAAGGAAAAGTCAAAAATAAAAAAAAAGGTTGTGAATGCTCGCCGTGATTTTTAACAATAAGAAAATTTTAATTAAGTACATACAATTTTTTTTTTTTTTGGATAATAAAATTAAAGAAATATAAAATGTTTGTACAATTATATTTTAAATTATGTTAAAGCCAAAAAATGTGTGTAAAATTTAAAAAAAATAAAAAAAAATTTAACAACTGATCGTGCAAATTATGAAGCTTGCTTCATGGAATAGCAGCATTGCCTACATATACATACATGTATACATATGCATACATATGTATGTATGAATACCACCTACTTTAATTACACCAACTTGTTCTGGGCTCTGCTAAATATGACAGGAAAGACTTAGTTACATTATCATATTGCAGTAATATTGCATTTTCATATTACAGTAATAGCACATATGATTTTTTTAAATATGAAAATAAACTTCTACAACACGGTCAAAGGAATGGTTTCTACTCCTTTTGTAGTCAATAAATTTCCAGTTTTTTTTGCGGGAAAATATGCAAATATGCAGTGTAATGCCAAGTGAATAACAAAAATGTTCCTTATCATGTACAAATTTTAAGGGGCATATTATATACGTACGTACTTACCTACTGCCCTACTTGATGGCCAGTTTACCTGCATGCAAAGATTGCAAAGTACCTATCCTTGTATTTTGATATGTATGTATATAAATTGTAAGATATGTAAGTATGTATTTTTCTATTTTTGATGCATATAATTATCCCATAACCTCAAAACAGCAATAATATACATATCTGCAAATTATTATATGCTCACAAAGTGAATTATGTTTTA